ATATATGACCATATATAGACCATAATTCCATATATGGAGGATATTTATGGCCATATATGGGCAATATTTTCATATATAAAAAACATGTATGGCCATATATGAACAATAATTTCATATGTAGAAAACATGTATGGCCATATATGGGCAATAATTTCATATATAGAAAACATGTATGGCCATATATGAACAATTATTTCATATATAGAAAACATGTATGGCCATATATGAACAATTATTTCATATATAGAAAACATGTATGGCCATATAAGAACAATTATTTCATATATCGAAAACATGTATGGCCATATATGAACAATAATTCCATATATATACTACATATATGGCCATATATGGACACCACCATATATGGATACAACCACATCTGGCCATATATGCTTCCATATATGCTCATCAAAACCCATATATGGCTTTATAAAACCATATATGGAATTTTGATATGGCCATATATGGCCAGAAATTACTTTTTTATAGGGGTAGACGCCCCACTTTGCTATGTTTACCTCCTAAACCAAGCTCCGGAGTCAGAAATTATGTTCCAAAACATTTCCCTCTATACTGTTTTTTGAGCAGTTTTGTGTTCAAACATGTTGTTGAAATGTCTTACTTCATGAAAAAAATCATAAAACGTAATAGTAGAAACGTGAGCAGCGCAACTGGCTTTCCCTGCTCAAAAATCGATCCTGGTACTAAAATTATCTTAATTAATATTTCTAAGTAATAGTTTAAAACTGATTAAAAAACTGCTACATTTGCATCTCAAATGTTTATTGTAAATTCTCAGTTATTTGATTATAACATTTAAAATATATCTTTATATATCTTTTATATCTTTAGCCACACGATTTGTTTATAGTAGTTTACGCAACGATTGCGTTAAGATAGTGTTAACGATACTGGTAAAAACTTTAAGGTACGAGCCTCGGCAAGTGCCTTAAAAACTTCTACGAGTGTCGTTAACACTATTCACGCAATTGGCGTACACTACTTTACACATTACTAAAATTCACTACGCATAACTTCTGAGAGGCTATGTTTTCGTGTATAGCCTCTCATTGCCACTGACAGTGATGCAACGAAACATTGTACCAAACACTAATTGCACCATCTAACAATTACATTGGCCTGAACAGCTGATTAGTCGAAGTTCGGATCATTACAATTTTACTTATTCTCTCTCAATCCTTAAACCTCATTGGTACGTTACCCTTGATTCTTATGAGCAAAACTATCCTGTTATGTGAAACTTTTCAATTCTAAGAACTAAACTGAAAGGCCTACTTTAAAATACGATCATAGGTAAACGATATTTAGAGCTTTTTTAGAACCTAGAAACAAAATACATTTGGTTCAAACTTTAACGGTTACCTAACCAAAGATTGCATAACGTAACGAGATTATACCTGTTACAGCAACCGTATTTCTCAATTAAGATTCGTAATACTGATATAATAAGTTCTGTTTTAACTAGTCTTTAAAACAAAATAAAGCCCGTATACTTAATAAGTGGCTTCTCTTTAGAATCTATTTTCCGCCTTCTATCGACAGATTTTTACAGTTGAGGTGTTAATGCTTGGTAATAATTTGATTTGAACTGTAACCTAAATGGTAATTCAATCCAGTGCCTCGCCTCTTTAGCGTTTTATTTCTTTATAGAGCTTGGTTTCAAAGATACAGTGGTGCAACCAACTTTCTTTATAATGGAATTAAATTTAAATTGTAAGTAAAAAATAACTGATCCTTCAGTTGAATGTTTAATCAAAGTAAACATGAGATACAAACTGTCTTAATCAAACAATCTTTTATAGAAAAAGGACTAATTTAAAAGTTTTGCACGGTCTACTCGTAACAATTTTGTTATAAATGATGCAGTTTTTCTGTTAAATTATATAATCATATAGTCCGTATCGTATACCTCTTATCCTAAAAAAGTTAAATATATTTATTTTGCAATGCATTGGCTAAGATTGCGATTAGTTATGTAAATTTAATTAACATGTGTTAATTATTATGTATTTTTAATTCGGCATTAACATGTATATTATGAGAGAATATAAAATTACAGTTTAACAATGTTACACCGATTTCTTTTACTTTATCTGCATGTAAAAATCATCTTTTATCATATAGAAATGCATTTTTATGACAGGGATGATAAATTCAAAATGTTTAAAGGATTTATTCATATTATATTTAAAATAAATAATAGTATATTTGTAAGGGAAATAGCAACATCGGCTAACTTCATATGTAGGATGATTTAATTTGCAAACTGCTAAGAAATACGAGTGTGGTTTTAGGAACAATGGCAGTAATATTTTTAACACCGACATATCATTGTAATGATCCTTGTAATGATGTGTGACGAGATAAACTGCATGAAGAGTGAATGATGAGGTTGTCAGAGGGATGAGATGAGCTGTAATGAAATTGGATTCAATTTAGAAAATGTGATGGAAGATTTTCTTGTCAGTGAATTTACCAACTTGTCACGATGCGGTTGTGGCTGTCATCCACCAAACAGCTCTGCATATCATATTTTGTCAAGAGCAAAAAATAGATTTGAGATTTATTTATAGCTGCCTGCATTTCTCGTGCTTATTTTAGCATTACACTGCAATCTTCTGTTGAAGTAAGTGACGGTGAAAACCTTTTTTTAAATTTTTTTTTATATTTTGACCACTTGAAAAGTTTGAAATGCAATAATTATGGTATTACTTAATAATGCATACCGTACTATCAATATAGTTGGTAACTATAGTTATAATCTGGTTTATGAGATCATAGCTATAAAATAATCGTCGATATGAAAGGGTGTATTGGTTTTTACAGGCAAAACCAATAACAAAAATATAACAAATATGCAACATAACATAACAAATATAACACCTATGTTAACAAATATAGTGGGTGAACAAATTAATAGTAGTACTTAAAAATATTTTAAATGTCAACATAATTCCAACTTTTCCAGGCTTAACTAAATTCCTTGTAGGCTGTAGGATGATTTTCTGGTACAATTTATTTATTTGCAGCAAGCGATCATTTTATTCCAAGATAGATTTACCCTCCTATTTCAAACAATCCGATATAGTTCAAAAGAGCTTAAAACTCTTTTAGCGTTAAAGCCAATCATATTTAGTCACGAATGCAATGTAAAGTGTACTAATTCTATTTTTATCGATACTGTCATATAGATTTATTTCCATTGCTTTTACACGACATTTTGATGACGTCTAAAATTATTGAAAACTAAATTTAGGCCCTACTAATCTTCTTAAAGGATGATTTTATACAAAAAAAATAAAAAAATGTTTTTATAATCACTTAACATCCATCAATACAAGTATAAAGTTTTGTGTAAATAGTAAAATAACTCCATGTGGTTTACTAAAAGAAAAATAAAGCACGATTGTAACGAAAAGATAAAACTCAGAATACATATGCAATTTGTGATTTTTCAGCGGGTTTGAATTCGATAACCGATACTTTTGTTTATTTCACTTACTGCTATTAATTACCACATTTATATTTTCAAATATTTCACATAAATATTTTTTTTTATATATTTGAAATATAATGAATGTATTTCAAATAAATTGAAAAGGTATTCAAATTTACATTTTTTACAATTTTATTAAAAACCTTGTGTCAGTAATATTTATAGCAATATAATCAATAGAACGTAATTAATATCAATCATTTGTGGAGAAATACGTAAAATATGTGACCGACTTAAATTTGTTGAATATATAATTAATCTAATTAAATATTTATGGATTTTGACGATCTTCATAAAAAGCGACAATGTCCTTGGAAAACCCTAAATATGGCTCAATAATTGTGAGCTGAAACTAGTTGTAATGCAACAATTTGTATTATCAACATAACCGGTATTTAAACCATTTACATTGTATCTTAATAATCCGTAGGCTTTAGTAAAAAAAATAATTGATTTTGTTTTACTAAGGTTATGTCGGATAAAAATTAAACTCCATGAATCAAAATCTGCCAACTCGATAATCTACCAACAAAATTAGAAAAAAATGAGTAAACATGGATAGGGAGAAAAGATACTAAAATATTAGTAAAAATATACAAAATATTGTATTTCTTAGTGTAAGTTATAGAATGGGCTTTCCATTAAAGAATAAAATACAAAATACAAATTATTGTTTAGAATAAAAAACTCGGCAAGTTTTATTAGTGAAATTTTCAGATCCTTTTTTGGGAACTTATGTTATGTTGCATATGTTTGGATCAATAAGTAATTTTTTTATTAAAAATATCTCTTGAACGAAGGGACTTAATTAATCCCGAGTAAGGTTGGAGGGTGTATTTAAAAAAAAGGTATTTTTTATAATGACCACACGAAATGCCAAAAAAACACCCCACTTAAGAAATACATAATTATAAATATAATTCGAATATCTTATTAATTTGTACTACCAGCCGAATTATGTTAAACAAAAGTAATGAATTGTAAGATTTTTGTATACAAACATAGTATTAAAATGATCAGTGTTTGTGGCATAGTCTATAATTATCTACGGTACTTGAAAATAAATATTTTTTTAGGTTAGCTGCAGTCCAAACTACTATGTATTTACGTATATAATTTTAAACGATATAATATTATAATAAATAAATAATTAACATATGATAGTTTTAGTTCGATTTTACAAAATGATAGTTGGGGATATTAAAAGGCATGCCATTGTTAATAAACAGAAGATCACAAGGATTATAGACAAAGTTTGTTTTTTGCATCGTTACATGGTTCGGGTTATTTTCATTGCTCATCACTAAATAGCAATATCATTATAAACATTTTAGTTTACAGTGTGCCTATTAGCTTTGTCATTTATAATATGATGTCACCGTCAAAAGCAAGAAAAGTTATTAATGTTATTAATTAATTTTTTTTTAGTTAAGTATTTTTATAAATGTGTATGAGAACAAGGATAAGATGAAACGAATACTAAGAAAATAAAAATAATTTTATTAATGTTAAACCAGTCTTCTAAAGCGTTAAAGCGTCTTTCCGTGAAACGACTTCAGGTTCGGTCGAGCCCTCGCAATAATGTCTACTCGGAAGACTAAAGAATTAAACAGGAAATTATTAAGTGACAATATTTTATTCTAAAACTTATATTATCTGTACAATCAACGTATACAATCACCAACAATGTCATCCAGGACTAAATTATATAAAAAACTAAGCTAGTGAAGAGAGGGGAAGGACGTGCGTGCCGTGTTGCTCAGGAGGTTCGGGGTTGAAAAAGTTTCGTTGTTCGTTTGGATCGACCCCTTCAAATGCGGAAAGCTTTAGATGTCTGGTTGTAAAATAAATTCAGTTGTTGTTTAACTAAGCTAAATTTATTGAGTTTTATCGTGGACGGTATCCTCTGCCGATACGGTGGTAGTGGGGTAGACGGGAACCGCGGTACGGGGGGCGGGTAAGGCCGGGACGTTGCCCGCGGCCAGGGTAGGGGTAGAATCCGTTGAGCACGCTCTCCAGGGTAGGGGCGGGACACACAAGCTCGGGGGTGGCGTCAGCGCAGTACTCTGCCACTACGTAGGCCGGTGATGCAGTCATCACCTGCAGGTTCTGTACTCCGACTGTGAGGAAGAAGCCACGGTTAGGCAGCTCGACGCTCCTCAGTTGCAGGTTCTCGATGAGGTAGAGACCGTATCTGGTGAGGTACCGAGACGTCGGCTCCAGGGGAGGAATTGCCTCAGCAGGACTGGTAGAGTATCCGGTGTCTACTCCGGGGGAATCCACCCCCACAGCGATAATGTTACTCGCGCATTGCACCAAGAACTCCGCAGCCTCTGAAACAAACGGAATACAAAGAATGCTATGGTAATCACTAGGAGGTGAGACATAGTTGCTCATTTTGAACATGTTTGAGCATTCCATCTCATGAAAAAAATATGGTGCTAGTCGGGGGTTGGATAGAATATGAATAGACGAAGTCTGGCCCGAACCTAGCCAGGTAGTTGCGCGAGGGACAGTAAATATCACAAACTGGAATGCATCCTAGGTGGGACGCGATCATATTTATTGGATTTCACATCATGTGTATTGCATGCAGTGAAATATTTTCAATGCAAACACAAGCTATGTCAGATGCATGAAAAACAATCTAGTCTCAATTAATATGATTACTAATTTGTTACCTTCAATTGTTTAAGTCTACACCGTAAAAATGTATACCAATTCACACGTACAAATTGTTTCAGGTAGAATATCCAAATTTATATTTTCATTCCAAAATAATACGTACATCAGCGTAGAGCTTAAAGAAAGAACATATTTTCTTCAAGAAAATGATAACTAACCAGCTGTTCACTATAAAAAAATAAATCTGACAGAAAAAATACATCTGAACATGCTATAAGTCAATGCCGTTTCTGTGATAGTTTCGTCCGGCAAATTGTGTTTCGGTGTAAATTACTCACGGTAAATGAACGAATTTCGCTTTTCAGTTAGGATAGGACCTTAAAATGTTAAATTTTTCATCAAAAAATTTGAAAATACCCAATAGTAAAAAAAAGTTTTAGCTTTGCTACAAAACAAAATTCTGTTAAACAAAAATCATACATTAGGGGAAAATAAATTTATCATAACAAAAAATAATGAAAATGATATATCCCCCTCTCTTTAGGCCTACAATATTGCAATGGCAACAATGTTTATTGCGTTAATAAATAGCACTTTTTATGTTGCACTCAGCTACATATGCTTAGTAAACTTACCTATAACATTGTAACTAAAAAAATACAAATAAATATACGAGAAATAATAGACTAGATTAAACTCTATCTCATGTGACTTTATTTGTAGTGTAAACTTATTTTAAAAGAATATCGTCAATATGTGTCAATGCAAAAGTGTATATTTCGTTAGAGGTACGATTCACTTGAATTCTCACTCCACTTCGCATGTACGAACTCGTGCAATAAAAACAAACATATTTCCACTTTCCTGTTGGATAAACATTTCCATTAAAAGTCGTGCATCTCAATAATATTTGTGATGGAGTTAATTCTGATCAATCATTTTAGCATTAGCGTTAAAGTGATAATTTAGTTGTGTTTTAAATTACTTAGTTGGCTCAGTTTCGAAATTACCAAAACGACTAATATTGTATACATGAATAACACAGTTCCGATATCGGAATAAAACAGATAGCAAAATAATTATTCATCATTTCTTTGGCTTACTACTTTGAAAAATAATAATATTAAACTCGTTTACGAAATCACTTTTCCTAATTATATGACTTTAGACTTTCCATCTTCATGTAAAAGTTGTCACAAAGTCTTTAATAAAAATCGTCCTAGTTGATGTGAGCCACCGACAGATAGTGCTGATCTGAGTAACTAATTTCTATCTTTGATATCAAATTGATCAGCATTGACACCTTTAATATGTTTACTATAAAAAATCTACTTACGTATGCCAGCAAGTGTCAATTGTTGTTGATATTATTCATGCTGTACATGTTTCTAGCCTACCACGGCTCATCTTCATCAGCATTCTTGTATGTATAATTTTTCACATCTAGAGATGATGTTCGACTATTTACAGGAACCACACAGACACACATATAGAAATAAAGATAGAACGTTTTAGCGTGCTATTTACACGTGTTTGCGTAGCGTACGCTCAATTTGATTAAACTTTCCGGACGACATTTGCAGGCCTACTGAGAAACACGAACACAAAATTGTACAAACAAGAATGCTGCTGAAGATGAGCCGTGGCAGGCTAGAAAAATGTACAGCATGAATAATATTAACAATAAGTGACACCTTCTGCCATACGTAAGTAGATTATTATCTATAGTAAGCAAACTAATTTCTGTCAAATAAGTAAACGTGTTTACTCAGTTAAAGTGATGGAATGACTTATTGTGTCACTTTTCAACTTGGTCACAGAAAAAAATTTAGAAGGAAACAGAATATCAGTCACTAGCGCATTCTGAGAGTAGTTCACATAACTATGTTAGGCTATATGAAGTAACGTAGTAGAAGAAAGTAGTAGAAGTAATATGTGAAGTGTTTAGTGAGAGTAGTTCACATAACAAATTGCGACAGCTGGTCCATATAGATGTCCAACTTCAGTATCCAATAGTCTATGGATCAACATTAGAATGAAAGGCAAAATTATTCGTGTGAAGAAGAAGTTATGTGAAAAAAACCGGTACCATTTCAAGCATCTTGGATCAGATAAGAAATCCATCAGGTAAAAAATCTAAACCAGTTAAGATCAGTGATTTGGAGGCTTGAATTAACCGACATTACCCTACAATATACATTGATGCAATATAAATATATATATAATAATAATATTATATAATATATAATAATAATATATATATAATAAAATATATATAATATATATATACATATATATATATATATATATATATAAACTCAATCAAAGCGTTTCTAACAGCCTACCGAGAGACACTCCAGGCCAGCTGTATTGTAGCGGCAGCAGAAGATCTAGTAGAGAGTCATCTCCGAAGTACCTCCTGGCGTCGTCGTAACGGTAACTCCAGCCGAAGTCGAACAGCACAATCGCTCTCTCAGGCAGCGGTCCGTTCTCACAAATCCATTCTTCAATGTCTTCCACTGTCACTTCATAGTCTCGTACTTTGGCCGCCTTGGCCGACACGTCTATCTTAATACCTGGGAAAAACTGAATGTTTAAGTGACATGTATTTTTCACTAGTTGTAAAATTGTATGTGAAATTTAGACTAATTTTTATGATTTTGTTACAAGAAACACATTTTTTACTTTGGCTAAAAAATTTAATGTATGAAAGGAATTTTTTAGTCTTGTGATATTTAAAAACTGCTGACACATTTGCTTTTTATCAGTTGCTCGTAATGTTTTAATGTGTATCCAAGCCTGTGGCATTAATTGTGTTTTGTAAGGAAACTGTACAAACCATGGTCCTGTTACTATCTAACGTCAATGTATTATTAGAAAAATTATTCATTGATCTGACAGCCCAATAACAAACTACATCATGATTTGGTAACGATCTAGTTTGAGATTAAACTAGTAATATTGACATTTTAAGGAGATAGAGCACTAAAACCACTCAGTCACACATACAATTAATTAAGTATATATTTCAAATGTAGTTACAAGATGGTACATTTTCAAACTAATAAGTGAACTTAATACGTTTGAATATAAAAAAAATCAAAAAATGTGGTTCCTGCCCGCAATAACATAATTATTAAAACGTATTTTGTATGCAAAAAATTTCCATCTTATGATGAATTCTCATAGTTATAAAGAATATTAAAGCAAATTATCATTCAGAGTATTTAGTATTTAAAAGCACAAGCTTTTATTGAGCCAAACAAAATATTTTTTAGTGACTCTACATTTTATTTTACATTTTATTATTTATTATTTTACATTTTATTATTTTTTTTATTTTAGGGTCAATAAAATAAAATGTTTCCTAAAAAAAGTTAAAGATTAGGACAGGACTAATTAATTGTTAATTGTTAATGTTAATTGCTGATTAACATTTCAATGATTACTTTTTTTTGTTGAAAAAAATATATCTTAATTAATTTGTTTGTTAAATAATAATATAAGTTATTAATATTAACAATGATTTGATGTTGTTTTGGTAAATCCCTTTTTACGAAACTTTTTAGTTATTTTGATTTTATGAAGATTGTTTTACAAATTTGATTATCTCAACCGACTAAGTTATATGTAACTGTATTAAACAAAATTAAATATATTTTTTATTTAAATCATCCTCGTTTATAAAGTCTTTGATATAAGAAAGAAATACACTTACATAAATGATTGATTATTTAATAAAACCTGTTAAACAAGAGTCGTTTTGATTCCAAGGCTTTGCCATACTTAAGCATGCTTTTGCCATACTTTTGCCATGCTTATTAAGCACAGCTAATTATATTTGTTAATATTTTAGCACGTCATATTTTATTAGTTTTGAATTTCATCTTGTTATTTTATTAAATTAAATGAAATTAAAATGCATCTTAAGATAAAAAGAAATCGTTAAAAGATAAGTCCCATTTATGTAAAATAAATCCAATTATTAAATTATTGATAAATTTCAGGTTGTCAAACATGTTAAGATATAACATAATAGTTAAATAGTAACAACTCTAATAAATATTATTCATCCAGGGAACTTTTAATATTTTGAAAATACAACACACCTCAATGTAATTTGGAATTATGTAAATAATATTGTAGTATTTGATATGGATTTTAAAGATATTTGAATTTTATTTAACGACGCAACAGATATGAACTGAAATGATTCTTTGAGTCTAATATCGATAAAACATAACACCTACAGCAGACTTGCACAAAGTGCGCTTGCTTATTTCGGTTGAATAAAAATATGTAAAGTATACATTGTTCAAGGACTTTTGTTAAAGGTTGTTTATCTACGAACTCAAAAGAAAAGAAATCCTAAAACATAAAAATATACGTTGTTTATAAATCTTGTTTAGTTTAAATTAAAACTGTAAAGGATTTAAATCCATAAAAAATATCTACATTCTTCACGAAAAAAGGTAGACACTTTGATGATGGTCTTAGAAAAATACTTGAAATATACCTAATTTTTTTGTAATTATGAATAGTTTTAATTTATCGATGAGTAACAAACTAAGAATAAAATCCATAATTACATCAAGAAAACAACATACCGGAATTAATATAATATAAATTAATATTTAACTCGCTCTAAGACGAACAAATGTGTATCAATCTTTACGCAAAGAATAAGGATTTTTCATCGCTTGGTTATTTATTAAAATTGTTTTATATAAAAAGTGAATCATTGAAAACAATTAAATGCGATAGGTAAATAACAATTAATTTCAAATATAGGGTACTTCATTGTACTCTCACACAAAACATGCATGGTATTGACCAACGCAGCATGCAGCCTAACCCACCAAGCTGAGTCAAAAACTCAAAAAGTATACCAGCTTGACCATTTTAATTATTACCATATTTTATAACATTGTGGTTATGTTGGATTATATCGCCTAATTTTAGCCTATGTTTAAACTAGTTCGTTACTGATTATTATATGAGTGACCGTTTTTTCATCTTTTAATGTACGATAAACTAAGATAAACAAGATTTATATCAACTAATAATATTAAAAAACTAAAAATGAAGGGGTAGGACCTTGTTGGCCTTAAACGCATCGAACTATCTAAACAGTTACTCAATTCAAGAAGGTTTATTATTTATCAAAAGGCAATTTGATAATAAATTATTCATATATTTCAGTACTGAAATTATAGGGTTATAAAATCCATTTAATTTACATTAATCAAATAATGTTATTTAGCTTTCTTGGCATTTACGAAATTATAAGTGCTGTATGAATTCCATTACTCAAGTACACACGTACCTATAACGATGATGAATAAAATAATTAAAATTATGCAACTAAAAGCAGTATAAAAACCTGATTAAAACAGAAAAAAACGAATGTATTTTTATTTAAAAGAGACGGGTTAATCAAAGTGAGCTATTTGACATCATGCCCATAAAGATCAAGTAAGCAGTGATAAAGTTGTAAACAAGACCAGCTGGGGTTTTTTAAAAGCAAGATAAAGTAGTATTTATAACGCATTTTCCAATATCAGATCACGAATTAACTAAAAAAACAGTAGCCCGGAAAACCTTTTTGAAATTAGAGCTTGTTAATGTTTGTTTGCTAATGTATGCTGACAAAAGATTAATAAAAAATTCAAACATAGTGTTTAATAAAAAAAAAACTTTCCTGTATCAGGCAAGTCAATGTTAATAGGTAAACATAAAAAAATGCTTAAGTTCCTTAAACGATTTTAAGCTGCATATCGAATAGAGGTTTATGATAAAGTAAACATAATAAATATTTAAATCCATAACGAATTTTACAAAAATAAAAATAAAATTCTTTACAAAGTACTGTATAATCAAAAGGAAATGTTTTACGAAAAGCGAATATAAATTTTAAATAGCCACATCATCAGTCGAAGCCATCTTGAGTCCACGTCACCGTCCCTTTTAAATTCAATCACATAAAACTCCATTGCTAATCCACAATGACACCAAGTTCCCCAAACCCCAATCAAAGTCCGTCACCAAGGTCAATGTCCCTAGCATCCATTAGTCAAGCACGACTAAGGGTTATGATCCAACACCATATGTTCGCGATGATCCAAATCCACTATCCTTATCTACTTACCCGGCACCAGGAAGAAGTCACAAAATCCTATCTCCCCAACGCGGTATCCGTCCACGTGAAACCGTCCCGGCATATCCACATGGGTACCGACTTCATCTGCGGAGAAGTAGCGATTAACGGTGATATTGAGAGGATCTAGGAGGATGTCCAGTAGGTCCTCCTCGGGCGTGATGATGAAGGGCTCGAAGTTAGGGATGACCCTGGCCCTGTGGGAGAACGTGTACGACAGGAGTGCTGACGAGTAGGCACAGTCCGTCGCGCCCTCACCGGATTTTGCCAAAAACAGAAGACATGACAGGAACAAGACAGCACGCATGATTCCCATAGTCTTCTATCGTTCCCGTATGCATCTCTGACACAGAAAAGAATTATGCTCCCCTCAATTGCGGTCGTAAATAACGTATTTTATCTCCGCTTGGCGTTTATGTTCTGATAACGCCCCGGAGTATTTCATTGGCAAAGCAAAGGCTCGGCCAGTTGTAATTCTTGATTGTTTGCTGTTCAGAGGAGCTACCACCTTTCTCTCAAGTAGAGAGTAATTTATTGTGAAAAATACAAATCTGCATACTTAAGAATTCTGGTAATGTAATATCTATCCAAAATATTAGCCAAATTCTAAAAAGACATGAAAAATTGGTCGAAAATATAATGTATGCAAATATAAACTGGAATCGTTTATATTAAAATCCTAATGAAGATAAACATCGTATGGTATAGGGTATATATTATTTTGAAAACAACGCATCAATTACTGAATATAACAGTAATAAACGATATATCAATAGTACGGTAAGACTCCGAAAATAGTGCAATGTAAATATACCTAGAAAAATTAGGGATTAACAAACCCAACAACGTATACACAATGATAAAAAAATAGTAAAACAATGTTATACTTTACTGTTTAAATATCAAAATTCAATAATAGTTAATTTTTGCGATGTAGAGAATTGTTTGTTTTTGAAGGTTTACAAACTGTAAACACACACTGGAATAGATTTATTGGTTTAAAAATGAAATCATTGTTAAACGTTTTATGTATTATTTATAGCCTTAAAACTAAAATCGTAATCCCGTACTTAAAATAAATTTGTCTGGTTTATTTTTACGTTTTGTGCCAACATATTTTGAATTTAAAAGGTACCATCTATACCATTCATTCAATTTTATTCACCAATCGTTCATTAATTGACACTTATCATTCACTAAGCAAGCATGATCTAAAGCAAAATGAATTACTTGTTAATCATTAACATGTTTTAAAATTAAATATAAATCATAAATATAAAATGAAATATGTATAATATCGATATAAGGGAGATGCTTATACTCTATAAATTGATGTATTTTGAATGTTGTGTTTAATATTTAATTAAGCTAGACAGTTGAAAGTTTTTCAATAATCAATTAGTAGTGTATTTTTTAGTAGATGAAATTTTTCTGTAATATATACCTGACTAATTATTCTTATTATATATTTTCAAATAATAATTACTATCTTACCTCAGTAAAGCATGTTTTTAAGCGCTGTTCTTGTCATATGATATATCTGCAAATATAAAGCAATTTTTACTAAGCCTAATAATTATTATTATTTATACAGCTTTGCAGTAAGGAGTCAAAAATTAAACTGAAACATAATAATGTTTTTATTCGAATAACACATTGGTATTTAGTTGCGTCTACATAATACACAGATTTTAAAGTAAAATAATGTGGTCTTCGAAAATATATAATTCATGCGTACAATTTCATTATATCAAAGTAAAACATACTAATCCATTTCCTTTTTATAAATTACGTTTAGTGCTATAAAGTCTAATAATTATTAAATTAAAATATCCTGCCATAAGAGAGTATACACATGATATTCAGAATAACGAAGTTTAAAACAAAAAAAGTTAAGATAAGTGAGTTAAAATACGAGTATATGGTGGTGGTTAGTCTGGAAGTATATCATAGGTTAAAATGTAAAGTTGACATGTTTAAAAATGAATTTTGAAATTCGCTCTAGCAAAATACAAATCATAACATAAATCAACTAATTACCAAATCACATGTTAGAGCTAAATCAATTTAGCTGTAACATACCAAATATAATATTTGTATGGATTTACTATCCAAGGAATGCAAGTTTATTGTTAATTTGATAAATCTTAAAGTATGAAATACAATATAAGTATGATTTTATGGGGAAAAATAAAATCTTTTCACATATCAAATGCGTATGGGTTTTATGGATCTTCATTTAAGAAAATCTTCATTCGCCATTGAAAAAGTTCATGAATTTTGAAATGAAATATTTTCATTTCAAGCATCAGATTGATTTCAAATTAGTTTAACCTATTTGTATGAAAAAATTGAGAGAAAAAAAAAACTAAATGCTTGAGGGAAAAAATGTTTTGACATTCCAAAAAAGAGCAATAGATACTTACTTCTAAATCATAAAAGGTTGTTTTTCAACAAATACAAAATATGAAACTTACTTCATAATTATTTCAAAATATTAAGTATGATTTGATTCTTTCGTTGCAACCATAGCACTATATTCAGTACACGTGTATGAAAGGAGCTCAATTGAAAATACATAATTCACTTGAATTATAGTATATTATGGTATTATTCCGGAAAATATACCAAAGTCACGCGAGACAAAGTCGAGTGTGGGATTGCCCTACGAATCCGGTAAATGCATTTTTTGAAATTCATTCGCCATACTTGCCTAAACTTACCTAAAAAAGAAAAATTGTAAAAATCTGCTATATATTTCCACTACCTAAAGTACCAACAATACCTACTCGCAAGCTCTAATAGAGGTTATGTTTTTGTTTGTAATCACTCATTGTCAAATATAATCAGCTGGTGTCCAAAAAAAACTCATTATGTACAGTAGGAAGTAATGGAACCCCATTTGATTAAACAGGTGGCAAACAGCTGTTGTCCGGACTTATTGCTAGGAAAGTTTGTTTTAACATTGTAGCGGGGTGAACAAGTAATATTATAATAAGACAGTAGTGTATATGTAAAGTAATACTGACCTTGGTTTTATCACCAACGTCATCCCGTCTGTCAGGCAGCTGGGGAAGACGATGAGAGACGTACGCATCGTAGTGGAGTAACTGGCTTCTTATCAGACCACTTGGGTACATACGTTATCAGCACTGCAATACTCGCCTGTCTCCATCTCTTGGTTGACGTATTGTACCACTTTCCACCATTTTATGGTATCCAGGTTGATTTGAACGCGTGCGACGCAAATGAAGTCATAGTTACCGAGTTCTTTTGAGATGGAAAAATATAAGTGTTGAAAAGTTTGTGTACTAACATGTCTTGTGATCTATTTGTTCTTTACAATACAATATGATTGGATATGTTTTCTTTAAGACCAGTAACACCTCATTCAAAGTAGTTTTGTATTTAGTTTGCATTAAAACCAATAATCTCGTGCTAGTCACTTTTTTTACGAATGTTTGTTTGCACTGTATGATTGTGCAAAAGCTCTGTTGTTCGGTATTTTGGACACCTTTCTTGACAATTATCTGGTAACTAGTTCAACCATAATTTTAACATCCAAAGGAACATGAATTAAGGTCTTTATTTTGTTCCGTGTTTTTTTGTATTGCCAACTGTGGAAGGTACACATTCATTTAAAATCAAAGAGATATGTATTCAAAAATTCAACGTATTACAGTATAGCAGTTAAGTATAAATAAAAAAACCTCTTGCCATGTAAAAATATTTAAACTTATTATCCTTCGGTAAACAAAGCGTAACAAAGCGGTAACAAAGCGTTTGTTGAATGTATTAAGAGACATGCATTGTTATTTTGCACCAACGTATACTGTAAACAAAGTAGTTAAACAACATGTTGTTATGACTTACTATCCAAATAACCCAACCTAACAATTTGCGCTTTATGATTACACTCACTTGTATTTTATTTCCAATTCCCTTATATGTTTCTGTTTTAACACTCGCAGTTTGTTTGTTACATTCATTAAAACTAGAAGACAGTGCATGATTATGGTTTGTAGTTTAAATGACGTTTATATAGCTAAGAAGAAAAGTAATATGTTGCTGTATATTTGTAGTAGTAACTACTTCCTACAACTTACACAAAATATAGAATGTAACTAATTGATAATTGTTTATTACTTTTTGTCTGCTTCGTTAAATTTCTGTTAGGGGGCAAGAGTTTTTTTTCATATTTGTTTGTGTACAAAAAAATTAAGGTGATAAGTAAACCAGCATCAGAAGAGAAGTACTAAGAACAAATCCTTGTATCTAGAATTATCGCAATTTTTTTATTCAATACATACAAAATTCCACGAAGTTATCTATTTAACTCGTGATTGATATACGGAAATGCTAAAGAAACGTAGGAATGTAAACCAGAACATATTAAGTTACCTTAAAACTATTCGAAAGTTTGTTCCCATGTTTTCACAGTTGAGCAGCTGTTCCCATAAAACACGTAAAGTCAATGCTGAAATGCCCAATGCAGTGTATAAAACGTGGCGGGACATGCATATATTATTTAAGCAGTAGACCCTACTTAAACCAATATTTAATTTAATTTCCCTTTTTAAGAACAATTTATCACTACCAATAATTTATTTCTGAACAAGTTAGAAGTCCGTCTAACAAAGATAATACATAACAATACTACCACTAAAATGAAGTTCAAATATAACTTAATACCAAATTATGCATAGGAAACTAAAGTATCTTAAATGAAAAACCTTGCTATAGGCATCCGTTGCTCACAATATCGTCCTCGTCAACCAGTTCCAAATTAAATTTCCAACGCTGTCATTACTAATTGGTATCTGGTAATTTAATCGATGATCAGTCCTCCACATCGTCACTGAAGTCCCCGGAATCGTCATCGACGGGGAGTCTTTCATTCTGTCACCGATTCTCAACCGCCGTCACCATCACGGACACTCAGTTCTTGACGTCATCAACGGTCTTTTTTCGTTGTCGTTAAGAGCACTTAGTCCCCAAAATAGTCCCTCAAGTCCTCTTCAAAGCTCAGCCTTCAATATTATCACTGCCCCGAAAACATACCTATCAGTAATCGATGCGCAGTTTTCCAATGTTGTTATTGTAACTCAATGTCAAACATCATCATCGACACACTGTCACAAAAATATCTATTTAAGTCCAGTTTTTTTTTTTATGAAAAAATTAAGCTCCGTTTCTAATTTCCCCTAACATTAATTTTCCAATCACAGTGTTAACCTTTAATCCTCAATTACCTACCTAATACTTAGTAAAAAATTTTTTCCTAAAATGTTGTTCCTTAATGTTATCTTTAATGCTTCGTTAGTTACTCTCGTGAAATTCAGTTCTCAGTTAGGGTTACTAGCATAGTGGATAGTGACTCGGACATCGATGTGGGAAGGACATAATTTAAATGGGCAATGACCACTTTACCATAAAAATCGTTTGAGTGGACTTAAATCTACGCTACTGGCGTTGACACAAGCGACAAACTATAACTTCATTTTAACAACCAATAAAAAGCAATATTTTATGCAATGTGCTTACTTTTTGTATAACCTAGCCTTTTTTATATTATTAAATGTATTTATAAGCGTAGTGTGCCTGAACGTATATGTGTAAAATAGATTGAAATCGGCTGATTGCCAATAACAATATGGCAAACGCTTCAAAATCCAAATTACTGCAATAATGGTTCAGATTAGTTTAAGCTAATTTTTGATACATCAAAGCAACATAATAAAATTGCACAAATAGCTATATATATATATTTATTGGATTAAAAGCCAATTCGGTACTATGTTACGCAAATAACCATAAGATATTTTAACATACTAATGATAAAATGTTATATAAAATCTTTTACACATCTAGCTATACTTCAGAGACCAACACTGTATCCATTAAATGTAAGGTTAAGTCGGTTAAGTTAACGCTATAACGGTTTTGTTTGTATCACACTGTATACCATACAATAGCTTTAAGTTTGCTGTAAGCTAGGACTGAATACCGAAAACTGACAACCCTTAGGGTGTGTTATGGTAAGCTGACGTTTAGATAAGGAAACGATTTAGCTAATATTGTCATTTCTCTCGTACATGATGACACTAGTTTATATCTATTATGTTGCTTCCACGAACACAAGCCTTGAGGTGGTGCTTTTGTTTAGCATTATGTTTCTATCACAGAGCTGATCAAAATATGCCAACAAGATTTTCTTGAGCGGTTTGAGGGATGGCAGACATAGACGATATGAAATATCAAGTAAAGACCTAGGATTCCTGATTGCCTTGTTATTATTTAATTACTTATTACTACAAACATAAAACAGCAATGATTTATAATACTGGATGAAAAAGTATTGATTAGGATACAGTCAAAACGCTATTTTGAGGTACGATGACATTTTATATTTTAGTTATTTGTTTCTTCATTTTGGCTTTGACATATAGTATGGAAACATATTTTTCCTACAGTTACCTAACAATGTACATGTTCTCTCGCTAATTTGAGAAAGCAAAGTGGCCAATTCGCTCATCAGTGAGACAATTATAACATTGTCTCACTGTAATTACTTTGTCTCACTCCAGATTTTCAACGTGAAGGCACGAAATACTGAGCGCGTAACATGCAGACAAGGTCGTATGCGCGCGAAATACGTTGGCAGCACTAGCTGCAAATCGGCTGGTCAGCTGTTGTACTGTTACATAAATACATTTGTGTTTGGTGGGATATGAACCATATAATGTGTAAAATAGAATATTATCAACCATATATGTTGCATTACCAATTTATTCGATCAAATTACTCTTAAGTAGTTAGATGTTACAACTTTTAATTGTATGAACATTGATATCTGGGACATAGTTATGCTCCGAGGAAAATTTTTTTTTCTTTAGAGCTATGCACATAGTCTTCAACGTAAAATATAACACCCTAAACTGTAATGACAAACATTTCTGTATTTACTTTTCAAACTTTCACGTTAAAGGTTGATGCTATACGAATATGGCAATCCCCTTCATCCGAAGGGCAATATGCATTGCAAATGTGATCTTTTTGTGGAATTCCACTTTAATTTAAATTTGTTTTATTATCAAGAAGACTTTTTGTAAATTTAAGAGATACAAAGACAACGTTTATGCATAATGATTGGTGTTTAGTGTTTCCGGACCAGTTATTTGACTAAAAACAAGAATTACTTAATGTCAACTTATGGTCCAAGTTTCAACCATGACTGGATATAGCATATATCGAGTAGCTTTTACTTATTTGTCAAAAAAGTGCAAAGTATGGCAGAATTGGACAAATATAAGATTGTTAAAGCCACTATAATCAACACAATCAAACTTTTTCAAAATTACCTCGCAGTTTAGAATTCTTTCATAAACCATTATGGAACCCGCTGATAGCCTAAATATTACTGAACTCTCTATGTCACAGGATAAATAACAGGTAACAACCCTTCTTTGGTTGAGTCTAGGCCAACTTCTTCAGCACCTCCAAACCAAAGAAGACAATTTTAGTGAAATATCATATTGCTATATTCCATTGTCTCAAATCAATAAAGTTAGGAAAATATGCCTTAATCCATTTGAGTAATTTTATATGTTGTGATGAAAAGAGAATGTTAGTGCTAAGACATATCAGGCCCAAGGTAAATTAACCTCATATATATTAAGTAACTTGTGGCTACGCAAAAAAATATATATATTAACGACAGAAAATATAGTTCTTGTGTCAAACAAAATAATTAAATATTTATAAAAGCAGTAAATGTATAAGCTTGTAAATGTGAAACATTAAAATTCTTAAAATCTGCTTAATTTCACTTCTTACCGTTTTATCATGTTTTCTCTCATTCCGCTCCCAGAATAGATTTATAGTTAGACTGATTGATTGTGTTAAAGTACATCATCCCGTAGTATATCTTATATCATATTATTATATTTTTTTTTCGAAAAATCAACTACTTTCTCCATTGAATTATAACCATTTTGATATTCACAAGTCCACATTTATTATATAATTATAATACAAAAGATATAAGTATTTCATTGTTATATTAAACAGTTTTATATTTAAGGTCGCATTGCATTATAACTTTAGGATACACAATTTGGAACGGATTGGTGTATTTTTCTTCATTAAATGTGCAGTAAGGCTAAAAATGCCAGAGGAGAAGTTAATGACAACGTAGTCATTTTAGCTATAAAATTAATCTATAAAGAGAAATACATTTGTTAACAATTATTTCCAAGATTCTAATGATATCATTAATATTAAATAATGAACATTTTACTTTTTGCTTTCTTAAAAATTTTTAAGGATAATAGTTTGTTTAAATATACTTATTTCTTATTTTTTTTTTTAATCTGTTATTGAAAGAAATTATAGTTAAAAGAAAATCTACTTAACTTGTCTAATCACGTCACGAACTCCTATTCCTCTCCGATAAATTAGCTAACTGTGCAATGTAACCATGTAAATTCGCAAATTAATATCACCTGCTTTGATAGTTAAAATGTTTAATATTTTGTCAATAAATATCTGCAAATCCAACGATTAACCTAATTGAAATCATGCTTAGCTGATTAGGCATTTTAAATGTAAGCTAATTTGAGAAGTTTTGGGGTAGAAATAAACAAAAGTTCAAGCGTTGTTATAAAAGTAGGAAATAATTTACATTATTATTTACAGCATTTGTATAAAAAATTACAAAAATATATACAACTTTCTATTTATTTACAAAAACATACATTAAAGTCAAGACAGTTTCTATGATTGACAGTAACATTTTTTTATTTGTAATAAAGAAATTAAATATGACTGTGGTAGATATTCGTGAAACCATAAAAGGTATGTTTAATGATTAAATCTTTTTACAAAAAATACTCTAAATATATAACATTTACTCTACATAATACAATAAACCTTTAATGATGACTTACATAATTTATTTTTCAACATTTAAATTAAGAAAATGTTAGTGGTTCTCCATTTTCCTTTCAGGTACCAATATTCTAATTTAGGAACAAATTAATTTGTATTATCTAAGTGTATGTATTTTCATTAAAGAATAATTAGGTATGTTGATTTTTCTATGGAAGTTTTCAATCTGTTGGTTATCTAAAGCTCCCATTATAATAACACATAAAATGATAAAACATTATGAAATTAACAACAATATTTGGAAAAGTATCGTATAATGCTTACTATAAAAAAGTGAATTTCGCATCAGTTTATTTGGTAAGGATCAGTTACATTCCAAATAAATTTCAAGTACCGTATCTATTAGCGTCGGTAAGGGTAGGGGTAGTTGTTCAACACAACACTAATGTAATCAGACACCTCACAGCACATGGAAGGAGTCCAATCAGCGCAAAACTCTACATACACGTTGACAGGTGCTCTGGTGGCCTTGCACATGTTGAACACTCCTAGAGTTGTGAAAACCCCTCTAGCAGGGAGCTGAATGTCCAACAGCAGCAGGTTCTGGACCAAGAACAGCCCGTAGGAGGCTAGGAACCTCCTCACACCTCGGGTGTCAGGGTAGTCGCCTACGTAGGACCTGTAGCGGAACCCAGCGTCCACAGAGGGCGTGTCTATACCGATGCCTTTGATGTCGAAGTGGTCGTAAAGGAACTCCGCGGCCTCTGAAAAGGAGACATTTGTGTTTATAAATCTTTATTACTGTATACATAAATCTGTATACATAAATCTTTTAGTTTTAAATGTAAACTTGCTATTGCTATAGCATATAAAAGAGAAATACTAGGTAAATAAAAATGATCGATGGACTCAAAACACTGTACTGTTAGAAAGTAGGCTCTTATTCAGTAAAAGCTTCTCAGTCATAGTTGGTTATTCAATCATACAGAGTTTGATTGAATAACCATGATTGAATAACCATTAATAAATTTTAAATATCCAGTATTTACAAGTTATTGCCGTCCTAAAATAGATCAAATGATGCAAATTAGCACTTGACAGGTTAGAAATAAAGATTTTAATTGAGTAGAGATCAAATATTACTTGTAAGTTTGATATTTATAATTAGTTTCAAAGAATAATAGAGGTGAATCATATGCATGCAAATAAAAAATCACCAACGAAATTAATAATAATTGTCTAGGTAACCAAGTGGTTTTAAATTTAAAGATTTTCTTAAATCGACGTGAGGGGCTTTCCCACAATACCCCACTCTTCGCAGAAAAGGTTCTCATCAGTTAGCGGGTGGGGAAACTGAGATGCTAGTACTGTAGTGGTTTTAGTGCTCGCCTTAAAGTTTAAAGGCTGCTGATTGGACTTCTGCTGAAATTGATTTACGAAAGAGATAGATTGAAGGATTGACCTTGGTGTTACTTTTTTCATTGGTTGTCGATTAATTATGTGACAGATTCGTAGTTTTTATTTACAACACTAAAATATCATATAATATAAAATATAATAGATAAATATTTCGAATGTCATAGATAGAAATATACACAGAACAAAAATAAAGTTAAGGAAAAAGCACATTAAACCATAGTTCATATTTGGTATGCATTTTAAAAACATTAATACAACCATAAATTCAAAGAAAATTATTTTAAATATATTCGCAAATTGTTTGATGCAAATGATGTAATTGATGGAACTATCAATGCAATGCATTAGCTTAACCAGGAATTCTGCATTTAAGGTTTTTGAAACTGTCAATGTACTCTTGTAAAAACTTAACTTATTTTTAATTTTGAACAATTATGTATCCCAGATGATGTTTTTTATAATATTTGTATCCATTTTTCGTCTTGACATAAATAAAAGTCATGCTTACAAATTCTCTAATTGCCAACAAAGTAAGATTGGGAAAAACAAGTACTGGAGCTATTTAGGAAAGCTTTTCATGAGTTATAGCTTTCCTGTTTTAATTTTGCAAAGCTATAGTAATATAATAAGTATTGGTAGCTAATAATGGTGTTTATCTTCAATTAAAGGATATTTAGGACCTAAATGCTATGATGGACCGGACCCTTAACAAAAGAAATTAAACATGCTGATAGCCAAAGCACGAACAACTGTGTAATTCCTCAACAAAAAACATACAGGTATATAAGAATGCTTTCTCAATACAGTATTTCTCCGGTCACAACATTTAGAATACTTTAACATTCATAGGTAGGCCTTCTTTATTTCTTCATGACAAAAAGACAGTAATCAGAAACTTAAGTAGTTGATGAATAACAGTAAACATGTGGCTAACCTGCAGACAATCCAGGCCAAGAGAATTCCAGTACTCCAGGGATGAGGTACTCTATATCTTCCAGGACGTTGGTGCCCAATAGGTCGGTCAGAAGGTCATCGACCTTGCCGATGTCAGCCAGGGTGTCCGGACCGTAGTACCGGTTACCGCGCTTGAAGGACCACCCTGTGTTGAAGATGACAAAGGACCGCGGAGGAATCATCCCATACTCGCAGATCCACTGCTCTATGTCTTCCTTGGTAATCTCGTAGTTCGAGTCCTTGGCAGCTTTCCATGTTACGTCAATTTGGATGGCTGCAAATGTAACAAATTGCTTGCAAAACAATACAAAATATACATACACATTGTTTTATTTCGGATTACTAAAAGATAAATAAACTCTTTTGATCACAGTATTCATAGTAAGAAATGACCAAAACAATAACTATAATATAGCTATGCTTTCTTGTGCTTTGATTGATTTATAATTTAAGTATATTTTCCCATGTATAAAGACAATGTTGACTCTTACACCAATGCGTATAATAATCTACATGGATGGTAGTCCGAGTAAATATTTTCCTCACTGAATAAAAAGATCTAAGTCAATCAAAGATGAATTAATGTTGATTTAATTTATACAGTACATAGAACTAGTCCTTTCTTCGCAACAGAAAGGGAGTATGAGGGGGAATTATATGGTGCATTAAATTTATTGTATGACATGGTTAAACCTCCAACGTTGATTTACAAAAGGACAAAGTTCGTGCTACCATTGAGGGGTAGCCTTGAGGTTATAACATCCTGCTGATTTAAAAATGCGTAATGTTAAGCTCTTCTACTCATATTTGGAGTCAATGTATACTTGGGTAAATTGATACAACGATACTCAATTGCAAAAAAAAAATATTATATTGGCATCACAAAAGAAAGTATATTTTGCCAAAAGCTTTAAAATTAATAAGGCCTCTTTACCCACTACTTATTAGATAAATATCACGAATAAGAATAAAAAATATTAAAAAAACTTACACTTCCTCGTTAATGAAACAATTTTGCCAACACTAATATTGGCAGACACAAATGTCATCAATGTAAACAAAACACCATCAAACAGTGTTTACAAACTGCTGTCTGATACTCCATCTCTATTATTTTGAGTTGATTTACCTAATGCATAGTATTTTTTCTGGAAACCAATATTTTCTTTTTTTAAACTGTTAGGCATTTAACATCGATAAATAAAGTCCTTAACAACTTGAAAAGTATTTAGAACATTTTATTGCACAATAACAAATTATGATAAAAACCCTGATATTACAGAAAATGAATAATATTTATTTGTGTAAAATGTTTACAAACTCTTTTCACCAGCTAGAATTGATTAAAGGATAAAAAATTGTGTAAATGATGTGCAGTAGCTGTGTAGCACCATGAGATAAAGCGAAATTGGCATTTCTACCTGTTTATATCAAAATTGCATTTGAGACAGCAGCTTTTATTTCGTGACATTTAAGTCCAATCAATTCTATAGTTATTTTCGGTAGCCATTTTATTTTATGCAGTGCAGAAAAAAAACTACAAGGTCCCGCTTGTATATTACATAATAAATTTCGAGTCTAATTTAAATCTTATAAGGGATCTGTTCATAGCTTGTTTAAAACCCTAACACTTCATTCAATTATTGAATTAGACCTTTAAACCCCTAACAGTATTAAACTGTGAGAATTCCTAATTGGCAAATTATATTTTAAATCACGTCGTACCAAAATGTATTTTTTCACGAGGTTCATAATTGTCCTAGTGTATAGCATGTTTATTAAATAATATTTTGTTAAAATAGTCTTCGATGTGTTAATTGTACCCAACATTCATGACCTAAAACACCAACGCAAAAGCAATGTTAAAGGTTGTAATATAACATGCTAATGTTATATTACAACATTAACATTACATGTGTTATTTATAAACATGTAATGTTTACCTAGCATATTTAACCACAAAAAAGTGCCATAATCTGACCCAACATCGTTACTTTTAAAAATATTACTTGAAAGCTGTAGGAAATCTATTGAATACTATTGTTTTAGATACAAACTTCTTATTTTTTTTTAACAAAATATCTTAAATTCACGTAAAATATATTTTTTTAATTTAATTATTCCATAAAAGTAAGAAAGAAACTGCGTTTAAGCAATAGAGTTATTACAAACATGTTTAAAAAACAGCATTCAATAATAGTAAAAAAAGTAGAAAATAAATCATTAGTTAAATTAACACACACATAGTTAGTTAATTAACACTAGTTAGTTATCTAGGTGTATTGAATGTATAAAAAGGACCTTTTGATGAATATTTTAAGCTGCCTTCAAAATAGTTTATGTGTATGTATGGATTTTAAAGAAAAATCTGATTTACGTAATGCACGTCTCAAAACAATATAAAATTTAGTTAGTTAGGAATTTAGGCTAAATTTGTTTTCTCGAAATAAGAAGTAAAATTGATTCCATGTGATATTCATTCCTTACAATATCCTTTCCCCTAATGGTAAGCCTATCCCCTATAATATTTTTTTACATTATAACACCATAACAATATGTTGGTTTCTTTCTCAAAATGGTGTACTAAAAGATACTTTTGACCAATTCAAAAAGTAAGTTAAATATTTGATCCCCTCTAGTATTATAATTTTGTCCACAAATACAATGTTTAGTTCTGTAAAGTACTTTTAACAACACGATAGACAGTTTTAGTAGATAGTTTTTAGACAAATATTAGGCATATACATTTACTTTGTATTGTTATCTTCGTTACCGATTTTGGCAGTATCTCTACATGAACAATACTTATCATTTTAAGTATGCTATGATATAAATATCATTAATATTGTAAAAATTCGTTTATGCAAACATTTGTGTTTTATATATCACATTAAAACTGAGAGTGTACTTAAGAATCTATATTGTATGCTACACAAAACATAAATAATGTTATATGAGCGTTTCATAAATCCTAAATGTCGGTTAAGTGTTCCTCGTTTCCTAGTAAATATTATAGATCTCGTAAATTTTAGTGGAATATTTTATGATGCGGTGAGAATCTCCGCCGTAAAATAAGAATATAGGCCTTACAGCTAAAACCTTTTACCTACGACTATATCGTTATGTTTTATATCCACATAATACTTCTGTTACAGGAAGCTAAGAGTTTGTTTACTTTAGTATAGCCTAGTAAAAATAATTTATTATGTATTTTTTTAAATTTATGTGTCATATATTTTTATAAACTTCATAAATAATTAATACCCTGAACCATTCTACAAACACTTTTTCGGTAGTTCATAAAAGTAGTCTTATGACAAGTAACTATTATTCGAATAGCCTTTATAAAGAAAGTAAATGAGATTAATTAAAATTTTGTTTTGATTTTGCTACAGAGGCTTATCAGATTGATTTAGATTGTGTACCTAATTAATTATATGTAACTAATTCCGATATAACCGAACTACCTCTTTTTGAGATGTATAATTTTATATTATGTTCTAGGCTAGTTTAAGTTTTATGTATTTTTGTTTATTTATTTAATACAAAATATGAATGAACAGCTAATTCATAATAAATTGTTAACGTATATGTAGGTTAAAATGTATTGCAATAAAATAATATTATTTTGCAGGCTGATTCAAAATAATGAATAAATTCATAAAAAATTTAAAATGTATAAACCAATTCATAAATTTTGCTTTAATATTCATAAAATAATTAAGTAAATGCTTAATAGTCTTATTGAATTAAAAAGTTGTTAAGTACTTATTTAGAATAGTGTTTCAATATTTTTTGCTATCGACAACTGTAAGATCTGGTTCATGTTGCGGCCTATAGCCGTCGGGGAAATAATATATGGACCATGTGAAGTAGAGTAGTACAAGAATGATAGGTACTTTATAGGCAATGTGAGTCAAAGCTTCGGCACAAAAAATAAACAACTACCGCACACAATCTAAATAAAACAAACCGAAACCAACCCAAAACACTCAAACAATTGATTCACCATCAAAGTCTTGATACAAAAAATAGTCATTTTTGTTTTAAATTTTAGGAACCATGATAGATATTGGTTTTCTGAACACTAAGAACCGAGTTTTTTGTTTTTTTAAAAAATATATAAAAACCATGATGACCTTGTTTACTTATCGCCACTGGTCACTATAATTATAACTTGCTAAGCGAAACAAATTAAATTGAACCTATGTTTTATTGCAAAATTTACATAAAATATTCATACATACTCTCCAGGAGGAATAAATCTTCCGGTCCAAGATCTCCGATCAACTTCCCCTCCGGGTGGTAGCATCCCCCGACCTCGATGAAGGTGGCAACCTCATCTCCGGAGATGTAGCGGTCTTCGGTGAACCCAGAGAAGAGAGTGTCTTCGGTGATCTCCGGGAAGACCAGGAACGGGGTGAACCCTGGCCAGCAGGGTCCGTTCATCCCATTGATGTAGTAGGTGAGGAGCGACCCTGTGTAGGCACAATCACTACATGCTTCAGCACACCCCCACTGGCACACCACTGCCCACACCACCAGGGCTATACGACCCACTGCGAACATTGCAGTTCGAACCGGAGTCGAGCTCATGATTGAGTTTTATATTGTTTGTGTTCTTTATCACGCTCTGATGTTTGCTTAGTGAACACTACGGAGAGTGGTGAGTATTCTAGTAACAGCGTGAATGTTTTAAAATACTGTTTTGGATTTATACTTTATACTTATTATACTTTCTGTAAAGTTTAATACATTTAATATCAAAATTTAAGTAGTAAGTGTTGTCCAGCATCCAGTTATTCAATTTATAATTTTTCGTTAAAGATCAAAACTATCTTCTCTTTTGTTAATACGTGAGGGCTGTTTTTTGTGAACAAAACTCCTCCGTTATTTCTGGATCGATTTTAACGTTTGAGGTGTAAAATAATTTGTCTTAATTCTTAGTTTTGCATAAAGGTTGAATTGAAAAACTCTTACCCTTAAGGGCACGAGGCGCTCTCAAAGGTCGCATTCCCCCCATATGATTTACATTGAAATCAAATTTTTAAACAAAACCGGCAAATGTATTTAAAAAACTCACCAGCTTTTTGGGAGTAAATATTGATGTATGTAATATTTAGGAGGTTATAGACAAATCTAAACAGTCAATCAGTTTTGTTGGAAGAACAGACAACTTCTTGAGTTTAAAGGAGAAATATTGAAAACAGGTGGATGAGACAATTAATAGGAAATCGTATACGTATGAGAAGAGTAGAGGAGAGGCCTGGTCTCACAGTAAGGAATCCAGGTACACAATCACTTGGGGAGATGATTCATTTTTGGCATTTATGCTAAGCGACTTTTTGGAAGTAAAAAAAAAACCATGAAGAATATGGACACTTCATGTTGTCACAGTGGTAAAGTAAACCTATCTAAAGTCAGATCAAATAAATACATGCAAGAAATGTTTACTGGTAATAGCTTTAAGTTGGGAAACATTTGTATAAAACACAAAAAAATAAGGTCGGGTCCAAAAAATTCTAAAATATTTTGACAAGAAGCGTTTATTATTTCAACGTGCTATTAAATAGCGTGAGTATTTCAATTAGTTACATAAGTATTTAGTCGGGTCTTTTAAACTCATCGAAAATTATGACCGTTATTAGTGTAGTTTTTAAGTAACTTCTGTATAATACCGGTACCTGATAATTGCTCGATATCGAGCAACAGGTACACTAGTCATAATAATTACAAAATACTATGTTTTACACATTTACTGCTATGAAATGTTATCAAAGTATATTATGTATGCACTGTGTAAGATAAATACGGATAACTTAAGGAAAAAAATACCCCCGCCGCAGCAAACCTGCAGACTAAGCGAATTTCCATTTGACTGATTTGATTTACACTGAAATGTCTGCTTAAAAATATAACATTTATTCCCGATTTAAATAGAATTAGTTTAATAAGTACTTAGGTTTGCTGCATCAGGGAGGGTTTTTTTGTAAAATGTTAATAGTTAGTAAGAAATAAAAACGTTTTCCAAATTTGATCAAAATATGTTCATAAACAAGCAAACTACAACAGTTTAATTATTCTCCATAAGAATAACATGGGAATTTTAAATTTAAAATTTGTTTGAATTTTCTCCGTAACCATTAGGCGCATAGTAACGCTTCAATATACTAAATTATTTGTTTTTTTAAGCTGTACAAAATGGTTTGGAAAGAAATTGCTAAATTTTATGACCTATTTTTACCCCATAAAACCCCCCGTAAACCCCCGTTCCCATGGTCCGATCATGCTGGATCGCGAACTCGTTCGAATAAACGTAGGTTTACACGTTTGTACCAAATTTCATCAAAATCGGATCATTTTTTCTCGAGTTATCGTGCTAACGGACACACACATATATATATTAATATATATATAAATATACATATATATATTAATATATATATAAATATACATATATATATTAATATATATATAAATATACATATATATATTAATATATATATATATATATATATATATATATGAATTTGAACGGATGGTGTTTTTGGCCTCTAGGGACCTCAAAACGAAAGAAAAATCTGTCCCGCGTCCAGGTCTTACCATGAGTACTACGGTAATAGCTAATTCCCTATATGGGAAATTCGCTAAAAGGATTAACTACGTCTTAAAATCAAATTTCCCTATGATTGTTTTTTATTTGAACTTAATTTGTTTGCGTTAATTCCATAATAACCGTATGGTAAAATGTGATGTGTAGATATTGTATGGTAACTATTAAAGGAGAAAGTAAAAGTATTAACCTGATGACCCCTATACGGCTATACGGCTTTTAGAAAATTTATTATTTCTCATGTTAGCATTGAAGTACATAAGTGTCTGCTTGTAAACAAAAGGTAAAACCTTTTATTTTGTAGGTTGCATTTGTCGTTATAAATATTGTATCTTCTAATAAATATCGTATCTATCAATATTATCATTACAAGCTCAGAACTCAGGCTACTTTTAATGTAGAATGAATTAAGTTTTAATAAAAACCATTGGAATGGAATATAATCTGGTAGTAAGCCCATATTAATTATACTAATGTATTTCAATTTATCTAGCCAAATTGAATTGAATGAATTTAATCAAATAAGCAAATATTTTAGTTCATATGAATAAATCCATTTAGGTATTAAAATATTTCGACAGTAAATTGGTTTTCATTGTTTATATCCGGTAAAGTAATAGATTAACTGTCCTACAATCGCTCATTACGTGTTTTATATGTAATTATTGCTGTAATAAACGTGTATTTAATTCCTTACCGTTGTATTGGTACCGTCATATATGTTAAAAGAACATATTGCACAATGTATCCATTAAACAGAAGAAGCAAACTGACACATACCATTTACCATGTCAACAACCCTTATAATGGGTACAAGGATAAATATAGTTTTTATCTGTAAAATCGCATACACTTCAACGATTGTAGTACTTAAAATATTGGTGATTGCACATTTTTTAAATTGAAAAGGGCAATAGTTTACTACATTTTGAACAAAATCGTCAGAGCAATTTTTATTAAAATCCCATCGTTAATGTTATTTGGAAAGTCACAATTAAATATACAAATTTCAAAAAATCTGTGCATCTTCTTAGTTAGGATGAGTACATACATGAAGCGGACCATAGCTGAAGCAAATAATATGAACACCTGTTTATTTACTCTATGGCTGTAGTCATCAGTACTTCTGTACATATCCACACACACATGCTGGCACACACATACATCAGTAAACAAACTCTATTCAATTCAAACCAATCAATTCGAAAAAAGGATTTTGGGGCTCAGGGGTCCCAATGTAGACATTTTCTCACAAAATAACCAACATAATACACATTAAAACCAGCTACAATTGCATGTTAGAATGACGTCTACTTGTTGTATAAAATGCTTATAGTATCACTTAGGTAAAGCATCCTGTTCTAAAGTAGTTTATTGTCAAAGACTTTATAAACACCAAAATAAAATACTCTTTTGACTAAGCCAACCACTCAAAACTATGGCTCCTTTAAATGCAATTTTTATTTAATGTAATATAACCTTAAATATTTAATTATTTAACTTATATTTACGCAATTCACTTCAAACATAACATCCATTTATTCATGTCTTTAACAACACACTGCGGCATTTGCTTTGCAGTACAATATTTTGCAAACAATAATTAGACGAAATAGTCTACAATGATATCCCATAAAGAGTCTTTGGTCTTGGGCAGCGATGTCTTGTGCTCGGATGCTGGTATTCTCTCACTACTTCTTATTCTTCTTCTTCTTATTATTATTATTCTTATTACTTATCAGTGCAGTTCACCCTTGTACTGAACTGGCACAACTCTTGCTTTGCTGGGCGTTCTGTTGCCCATGTAGACAGGCAAGGTAAAGAGGCCTATAAACTGAATTTATTAACAAATATATGTTATACTAGCTAAAACAGCTGGTCAATATAATTTTAGTTTGGTTTTTTAAACTAAACAATACTTTTTGCAAATTAGGTTTCGAAGTGTTAAACGAAAATTGTAGGTATACAGAAACACAACTCAAATAATATCAGATTTACCTTTGTCTTAAAAATCACCGAATAGCAGGCCTAATACCTCTGTTCTTTCGTCCCTAACCATTAAGTGTAATCAAATTGTAAGAACAAGGCTTTTTGAAATAGCTTAGGTTTTTCCCAGGACATGCATTACTCGTATCTAAAACTATATTGAAGAATATTGAAACTCAATTCAATATAGTTTCAAATATAGTTTCAACTATATTGAAATTCAATTCCAATAAACCTCGAGGTTTTAGCAAACTACAATGATAGTAATCACTTCTGTCATATTCTTTAACTATGGCAGAAAATGTCACTCGTAGGTTAAGTTTTATCAAACGAGGCCAAGCTTCGGGACTGTATAATCCAATATAATCTTTCTCATAGTATAGAACATATCAAGCTTATCACTGCATGAAGTTGCATCTTAAATATACTATTCAAGATACAAAGTTTTGCACACAATTTTATTACTATGGTATTTACTTTCTACAAGGTTATCCAGCTCTAATACTGGGATAGCTGCACAAGAAAGTGTTAATGTACACGCATTAAATATGAAAGTTGAAATTCCACCACTACAACAAAGACATACCAATGTCCCTCTCATGCTGATGTTTAGCAGGAAAATTACTGGACATAATAATAACGGTGCGTTTTTAAGGCTATTACTACTAAAATAATACAAAAGTATTCTTAGCCATTTGTATCTTTTTCACGCCGTTTTTAATATGATAGCTGTTCACTTACGAGGAAATGTCCTTGAATGGGCTATATGGCTTCATATTTATTTTCAAACCCAATAGCTTTGGAACAAAGTTATACTTTTTGTTCAGCAAATTTATACTTATTATTATTCTTAATTTATCCGTTAGGCATGTAACGTCATTTCAAGGTTAAATTGTACACACCAATAAAGATCATTATAATACATTCCTTGTTTGTTTTGTGGCATCACAGTTCCACTGGAGCTTTGTTGCTCTTTGCGCTAAACATCTATATTTTTGGAAGACATATAAGTATTTTATCACTAACGTCGTGTATCAAAATCATCCACATCTATTTAGCATACTTATTTTACTTCACGGACAAACATAATACAATAGTATATTTCGTAACTAGGGCCGAAAATGAGGTTTTACTGGCTCTAGATCGGTTTTAAAGTTCGAGACGATGTCGAGAACTTGAAACAATTGAGAGCAGCAAATACATTTCGGCCCATGGTACGAACGCTATTTTTCACCTCACTATTACTCTATTACCTCTATTCACCACAATAATAATGCACACTATCAGTGAACACAATTAAAACTATAAGGTTACTAGCTGTAACCCGCGGGCTTTGCCCCGTTTAACTTCTTAGTTTTCAAGATTATCTCGTTCGCATGGCTCAATCACGTCCTGGTTGAAGTTTGTTCGCTACGTTCACTCACCTTTATAGTCTGGCAGAAGCTCGAAGGACTCCAGCGGATTAGGCGACCCCTCGCCCACGCACGCGCACTCACCAGCGGCTGCTCAATACCTGCCCCATCCCTTGCCCGCCCGGCAGGTGACTCACCACTGGCTTGCGGCCATAACAAATATGAAAATGAATATTTTTAACATTTTTTGTTTTAATTGTAATTATTTGAATTGACAATAAAGTTGTGAGTTTAACAAGCTAAAATTCGACTTGATCCCACGACTTTAAGCTTTGAAAACACTATTTTGATTTCTGGGGTATAGGTTTTTGCATGATATTTTATTAATGTGAGTTAGCTTTGATAAGTACTATCAAAGATTACATATGCTACGCAAAATATGCTTTTTGCGTAGCATATGTAATCTTTGGTACTATGTATAGCTATGTATAGTTAATGTTGTAGGTCTAATATTTCCTAATTGGCAACCAACTTGCACTTTAAAAAACTTAGAATAAAAAGATTCATTAAACTAAACGGTAGGTTTGTGTCCAAATTTACAAAGGGATTCTTTTACGTGTCGGGGTCTAAGGTAGCATTATAGATCAATTTTCCATGAATTAAAAGGTGGTCAATGATTGTTGTGTCTGTTTTTAAAGTACTATTACAGAATAAAAACCATATTAGACTGTGGTATTAAAACTTAAGATAGTTAAAACCTTTTTACTTGCGGCGCATTGGACCACACTTGCTTACTACTTAATATTCATTTTTTTTTAAGTAATGTTTAAATAGAGATTTGATTAAGTTATCCCTTTAGAGTTAGGGTTTGCTCTGTAACCCCTAACGGTGGAGGTTGTAGCTTTGCGTTCGCAAAATGGAATATTATTTGCTTAACCTATGACTCAGCGCTGTCTTTTCTAATAACATTATCTACCCGTTATGGCCACTTCCCGCACTTTGGCTATCCTGTGAGTCACTGATGACACAGTTTAGTGAGGAAAGAAACGATTTGTGCGATTGTGATTTAGTAGCTCGTGAACGTGACCAAGTGAAACATCGCAAGTTAGGCCTATAGAATAGTTATGATAGGGTAGTTGTTCTTTAAGTGCGGGATCTGTTAGTTTTTCGTAAACAAGTGATTCTATAATGACTTCTAAAAGAGAAGTATTACATACTCAAGCTAGAACTATTGTGGCGTCTGTGATAGACTATTTTTATTTAGAGAAGAATAATTTTGGACCTCTTATTGATTTAAACAAGGTTCTTGAAAGGGTTGCCGCTGCTTGCAAAGTGCCATACAGGACTGTGCGCCGAATTAATAGTGAACTGAAAGAAGTAACGAAGGACGTCGGAAGTGAATGTGGCTCTTTAAGCCGAGTCGAAAGTGCTACAAATGACTTCGAAGATGAAGAAACACCTGTTTCAAAGAAAAGCCGGACCATCATCCGTACACCGAGGAAAACCCGTCGTAAGTCGTATAATAGCTATGTTTCTAATTTAGACGACTTTCAGAAATCAGCTATCCACCGACACATCTTATCTTATTATGAAAGAAAAGAGGTACCGACACTTAGAAAACTTATTGTCTCCTTGAAAGATGCTGATCTGTTTCATGGCAGTAGATTTTCATTAGCTAAAATACTTAAAGCGATAGGCTTTGTATACAAAAAGTTTAATAGTAGGAAATGTTTGATGGAAAAACCGTCAGTTGCACTCCTGAGATGCCAGTTTCTAAGAAAAATTCACAATATAAATCCTGAAAACATTGTGTTCTTGGATGAAACTTGGATAAATGCAAATTTAACGAAAGACAAAGGTAGGACTGACGATTCAGTCAAAGGAACCCTGAGTACCCCTTTGGGAAAGGGTAAACGTTTGATTATTTGCCATGCGGGGGGACAGAAGGGATGGATAAATGCTCCACCTCTTATTTTTGAATCCAAAAAGACGGGCGACTACCATGAAGACATGAATGGCGACGTTTTTGAGGGATGGTTCTTTGAAGTTTTGCTACCAGCAATCCCCCCTGGAAGTGTGATTGTAATGGACAACGCGCCGTACCACTCAAGGGTAAAAGACAAAGCGCCAACAACGCAGCAACAACCACAAGCAGCAACAAAGCAGAGATGGTGAAATGGCTGCAAGATAAACAAATACCGTTTAGTCCCGACTTGCGAAAATGGGAAATCTATGAAGTTATAAAGCTACATAAACCACCCCAGCCAAAATATGCAATCGATGCAAGGGCGGCCGAATTAGGATACTCGGTGATTCGGCTTCCGCCATACCACTGCCACTACAACCCCATAGAGATGGTATGGGGGTATCTCAAAGGGTACGTAAAAGAAAGAAACAAGACTTTTAAGTTGGGTGACATCCAGAAGCTGTTCATGGAATCAATCAGCACCGTCACGCCAGAACAGTGGAAGAAGTACGTGGACCACGCCAAGAGATCTATCGACGCCGACTGGACAAGTGAGGGGCTGAATGACTCTAGCATCCAGGACTTTATCATCAACTTGTGTCCAGATGACTCCGACGATGGATCAAGTGACATTGATGACGTGTCTGATGAAGATCTGGATATTTGTCCTTTAGACTAGACACCTGGTGTGGTAGTGATGCGAGGTATGTGTATGTGATACATAAAAAAACTATTTAATCTAATACAGTAGCGTAAAATTGTGTTCCATCTGTGATTTTATTATATTGACTTGCTATTTACTCGGATATTAGTATTTTCGGATATTTTTATTTTTACTTTAAATATGTTGTAGGGATTGTATTTTTTTTTTATTCAAATATGTTTACCGTCGGGCATATTTTTTTTACTTTAAATGTTTGCTGGAAGGCTTGTATTTTTTTATTTAAATAGATTTACTGTCAACTTATACGTTTTACCTGAAATATTTTTACTGTCGGGCTTATATTTTTACCTTAAATATGTTTACTGTCGGGCATGTATTTTTTACTTTAAATATATTTACTGTCGGACTTGTATTTTTTTCTTATTTGTTTATGATGTTTAGGCCTGTTTAGTTTTTCAATCAGTTATAAATAGGCCCTATACTGTTTCTTTAAAGAATACATTACAAATTGAAAAATAAAAGTTATTAACGTAAATCCTGTTTATTTATTCATACAATGTTGCGCTGTAACCTGGTATTAAATTATTTTATTTATAGTTTTATTAATTAAACATTAGTATGATATTATATTACATTATCTCCCGTTGATTAAGATTTGATTAAGATATGCCAAACTGGGTTTCACTTGTTGTTATTATTATTATTAGTTTCAATATTATTTTTAAGTGTGTGTGTCAGTTATTTATAAATTGATATTTTCTACCGTTTTATTTGTATGTCATATTTTGAGGCTAATAGTACTTGTTTATCATATCTTAAAGTTTTTAATTAAAACCATTTTTTTCCATTTTTACCTGCTAAGCCAGAAGCCAGACTAAGAATTTAATGTATGTATATATTGTACATTTGTATTTTTATAAGTCCTGTACGTTATTGCGTATTAGTATTAGAGATTAATAAAAGATATTTTTAAAGGAACTTGAGTTTATTTTAAAGACCTTTGATTAGTGCGTATCAAAAGCTTACTCATCACAACTAAATATTATGCAACACACTTTTCATACAACCTAGAAATAAAAATAGTGTTTTTGAAAGCTTGAAGTCATGGAATCAAGTCGAATTTTAGCTTGATAAACTCACAATTTTATTGTGAAAACAAATATTTGCAATTGAAACGAAAAATATTAAAAAGTTACACTGTCATCTTATTTACTGGTGCAATCCAGTGGTGAGTCACCGGCCGCCGGGGGAAGGAGGGGCAGGTACTGGGCCACCGCCATGCCGCCGCTGGTGAGAGTGTGTGTGTGTGTGAGTGAGGGTGTCCTAATCCGCTGGAGTCCTTCGAGCTTCTGCCAGACGGTTGGAGCTCGTTCGCTGCGCTCACTTGCCTTCAGGTTAGCTCGTTCACTACGCTAACTCGCCTCCAGGTTGAAGTTCGTTCGCTACGCTCACTCACCTTTTGGTTGCAAATTAGCTGTTGTCATAAATGTAAAAGAAATAATAGTGCTGCACCCTGTTGGTAATCCTTGTAACTTTAATGCTATTGAACATCATAGAACAGAACCAACTTGTTTAATTGAAACAGCTGTTAAGATTCAATAATTCCATTTCTCATAAGGTTAACATGGGAAACTCCAGAGCCACTGGGGTGGAGCCCGAAAGGATTTTTAAAATAAGAATATGCCTATATGTTAATCGGGAATGTGAGCTATCATCATGCCAAATTTCAGCCCAATCCGACCAGTATTTTTCGCGTTCACTTGTCACAAACATACATCCATACATACATTCAAACTTTTTTATTTATAATATTAGTAGGATAGGATGTGAAGGAATCATTTGAGGAATCAGCAACAATAACAATAAATAGTTGCCTAGATAGTGGTGACAATAAACTAAGTCTATTGCAATGCATATACTGATTGTGTATTTAATATACATTAATGTTTTAAGTAAATAAGCAAAAGCTGGTTTTCGGCCCTAGGGATATAAGAACCTCCTCGTTCCTCAAATGACGATGACGATGGACAGCAATACGTAACTTTTGGCGTCCAATACGTTTGTAAAACTACAAAAAACGTCGTAGTGTGGAGAAAAACATCTTTTGAGCATTTGTACATGCCATTGTTGATCAGAAGATTAATACTAGTAATTTCACCAACAATACCTACCGATGATTTTTATAACAATTTAAAAAAAAATATATGCAAGTACTTTATGTTATGTTATTTGAAATTCGGATTTGATTTAATTATTTCTCCTACTAAACTCTATGTAATATTTGTGTTGGTAAGTACGACGAAATTCACTGAAAAAGAGGTTCGAAACAACATTACGTATTTTAGGCACAATTACTTATTGAGTCAACAATACATATTTGGAAGACGCAGTATTCTAAAGTCAGGATGACTAAAAATACACGGATCAGCCTACCTACACTTATAGTGACAAGATAGGAATTCCTTGAAAATACAATTTTCTTTATGTCGAGTATAGAGCCCTTTTCTGCGAAAGTCAATCTATTGAGTTCCAAGGGGAGAGCTAGCAGCCTTTTAAGTCGTGTGGGCCTCTCGGATTTAATTTATCCTCTTTACGTCAAAGACTGACATTCATGTTTAGACTAAATTAAAAGACTAAATTTAGGTTCGGTTTATGCAATAGCTCAGCCTTAGTTTATTACAATCTCACGGTGTAGGAGTAAGAAAGGGTTACGTAATAACATCATTTTTTGGTACTGATTTCAGTGAACGCCTGCATGAGTTAATATCCAACCGTTCTTAAACTGGGTTGGTCATTACGGAGTTACTAGCCTGTACCGACGGCTTCGCCTGCGTAGATATAACCATAATACAGCATAAGAAATTGAGTATTACAATCTAAATCAAGACAGGTAACACAACTGGATGCTTGAAGTTTTCTAGTTTTATTTTATGAAAATAAGTTATCATTTGCGTCACGCACAGTTTAAAAAGAAATAAAATTACAATCAAAAACTAAATGAAAACTATACAACACACAACAATATGTTTCATGAGCAGCTAAAAAAATATTACAACATACAATCTTAAAACTGAAAATGCCGCGACTCTTCAGTTTCTTTAAGGTATAGTTCTTTCATAGCAGTATGGGCGCTTATAATACGAGTAAAGAAAGAACGACTCATTCCAGCAAGCTCATCTTTACATTTTAGTTCTCTGCCCTGTATACTCTCTCTGCCTATTCTATTTATTTTAAATCATTTGTGTTGTATATAGTGTAGTGTTGCATCGTATTCCATTGCATCATTTTTAGAGAAATACCATAATTTATATTATTAATTGTCATAAAATTGTCATCAAATTTAATTGTCATCGAATTAAGACATAAACATAACTGTAAACAACCTATTTGGACAGTTCTCATTGTGTATGACTGTCTTTTGTTGCTGCTTAGTTCAAATTAGCAGTTGTAATAAAATAATATAAATGTATAATAGTGCTGCACGCTGTTGGTAGACCCAATTTTAATGCTGTTGTATCCAATACCATAGAACCAAAGTTGAAACTGCTTACAAAATTCGGTAATCACTTTTAGTCAAAGTTGTAAGTGTGAATACTTATAATGTTTACATGGAAAATTCCAGGGCCACTAAGGTGCAGCCTGAAAGGGTTTTTGATATTAGAATAGGCTTGTATTTCAATCGGGAATTTATGCTATCATAATTTCAATGATCAACATTTCAGTCCAATCCAACCAGTACTTAATGAGTCAAGTTATAGTAATTTAACTTCAAACAAACAAACTAATACACACTTCCACATTTATTATATAATTAGTATGATTTACTTTCCTAATTCATACATTTAGATTTTCCTCGACACAACAGTAATTTCCTCTCAACTAAAACAAGCCAACTATTAAGGATCAAAGTGACTATAATGCCAAATATCAATAACAAAGCATTTAGCACTATTGGACTTAACCTAATTGAGTCTGTCTCTGTATGAAAACTTTGCAATGAAATATAACAATATTTTTGTACCTAAAAAGCAGGGCAATTGTTTCATTATGAATACATACTTGACAATAAATATTTAATATAACAATATTTTAATCTTGGGAAATGATGAATTTGTTTGTAGGTGTTAAAGAAATCTTATTATAAACAAGCTAAAATGTCAAAACCACCATTAAAATTATCGTCAATAATAACATTGAGTTTCTTCAAAATTCATAGGTCCAAAGGAAATTGTAAGTTTTGTTGTGTGTTATACAAGATACGACCAATACAAGTTTGACTGAGTTTCTCAACTAGGTGACGACAGCCGCCGAACCTGGCTCGTCAAGGTCAAATACTGTATATTAATGCGAATTATAGGAAGTATTTATATACCTCTTAGGTTTAACTTGACTTTTTCAATGTACCAACAACGTTATTTGTTTAATTACATTGGCGAAAATATCCTTTACTAGCTTATCCTTACCTAAATATTTAAGAGTAAATAGGCTTTTCCTAACGCATTCTTATAACTAATAAATTTATAGAACAAACAAAATATAAATATACATAAATATAAATACTCCTTTTACGTTGTTTAGCATTGTTTAAATAGAGAAAAGTGGTAATGCGTTTAGAAAACAACACGTTTCTCTGTTATTATTTATCCAATCTTAACAAATGAGGTATCATTGAAAACAACATAAAACGTACAAATTGTTATGTTCATTGCAATTCTTTTGTAAAGTTAACGGTTTTCGTGAAATTTGGCATCAAATATTTTAAATGGCCACCATTTTGAAACGGTTTTTAGTATAATTTTTAACGTTAATAGGTCTTAATAAGAGTAACATTTTAGCAAAATTTTAAAGCTGTATCTCAAACCGTTTAGGAGTTATTAGTTTTTTTGTAAAAAACACATAAATACTGACAGTCGGTAAACTAGACACCACAGACCCATGTTCCTATGGTGAAATGTGTTTGTCTTGACCTAAGAAATAACGCTATACACAAGTGTCCAGAGAGTTACGGGACACCCTAAAAAACTAAGGACTAAGAAAAGAAATTTAGCTGAGAAACGTAAACATAATTTTAATTTTTTTATCGAACAGTTTTCCAATACCCCATCTACCAGGCTGTGAGCTTCCAATATTCCTAAACAACAAAAAAAAAAAACATAAATATTTCTTGGCGAGATAAATATTTGGAATAATATTTGGATATATGTCAACAATGCATTACAACTAATCAATTATTACTAACTATTTTCAAACCAATCACGTGTTTAATTACTCGTATGTTGATCTAAAAATCCCAAATTAATTATCAGTTACAGTTTTCCTTATCAACCCCCCTCCACTATAGATATAATTATGATTCCATGTAAACATTATTCCGTTATAGATTCCTTTCAGTCTACATTGAAACATCCTTCCGTCAACATTGTTGAAAATGTAGCATATCCAGTGTTGTTCTGCTATAAACAAGAATCCAAACTTATAACGATTTTCGAGGAAGAGTTTTTTTACCAGTTCCCATCCAGCGACAGAACCAAAGTCGTCAGTAGCCATCGTTACGTGCTAGTGTTTGCTTTTCGCGATAAAGTCTCCTATATAAACCGAAGAGAGCGATAGTTAAAGCTTTTTACTGCACTATAAATTGAACGATAAGAAAATTTATATAGCAAAGTATCGATAGCGGTACTCGGTGTTTGTCAGTTGAAGTAACCATGCATGTGTTCCTGTTGCTGATAGCAACAACAGTGGGACTGGCGTCAGCTGCTGACGACTGTTACTACACCGCGGTCGACCTATCCTACAGGCTCAGCCCCTTCAGCACCAACTACTACCCCAACTTTCTACCCTTCGAGATCACCATCGAGTTGGTGAACGTCATCACCGACATCCTCTTCAATGAAGCCAAATACATCGCGGGTGACGAAGGCGGCACCAAGGTCGAGGTTCCTGGAAGGTTTTGTGACAACGGATACAAAGTAGGCGAACTATGCAAGGATCAGCTGATGTTCATGCCAGGTAGGATGTGTTTGATACTTAGGATAACCCAAATAAGCAGTGTGCAGTGTTCCTTAATGTGAATTTGTAAAACAGTTTTTTATTTAGAATTATCTAAAAGAAAGGTCAACAAAGTTTGATAAAAAACTTTTTGGGTGTAGACCATTCTTATGAAAAAATGCAACTCCGTGTAAGAGGATTACGGATCCTCCTGCAACGGTGTTGCAAATTAGAAAAAAATACACATTCGATTAAAAAAATTGTTATATGTTCAAAGGTTACCAAAGATAATAAATATAGATAGACTATTGGGGTTTTCTCAGCAATATTGTTTAATTGTATTTTATGAATTATTTTTTATATTTTATTTTATCAAGATTATTATTTAATATAATCCATTTATTATTATTTTATTTTATTTTGTGAATTTTTGTTATTTTATAAATTTTCTTGTCACCAAGTAAAATAGAATACAGCTTTAAATTAAATATTATCTTGAGCCATCACAGCCTAAAGCTTTTTAGTTAATGTATCTACAACATTTAGTTTTCATATTTGTGCTGGTGCGTTCTGTTTCTAGAATCATTGCATGATTATGAAATGTGCAACTTTTAACATAAATGAGCTTGCATAACGGACATAAATAATTGTTATTGATACTAACATAAAGAAAGCGCTATCGTGTCATTAACTCTTTAAATAGATCAATACGAAATGTTAGCGTATATTCGGTTATTATTATAATCTTCGGTTTATAACAGGTTTGTTTTCTTAGAAATCACATCATAGGGCGCAAAATTCTAGTGCGAAACAATTTTACCTATCACATATATTAAATCCATTGGTGATTGGCGGGACTTGTACCCGGGACCACGGGCTCCGGACTCATGTCCTCTACAACTAGACCAGCTTGCTCATACGGTTCATAATACTAGTACTCTATTGTTTCTAATTATATTTCAATTTAAAGGCAATAAAATATTTTCTTAAAAGTACCAGCAATTTTATGAAAATGTTAGAAATACAAATTGTAAACAAATGACTGGGTTAACTTAGATCACACTACATGACATACAGTTTTTTGTCCTGCTACACCAATATCGAAGGGACACTGTACATTAGGTTTTAATCGGATGAATTATTACCAAATTTACGATGGAAATGAAAATATTAAGTCACAGGTACCCATAAACATTAATTTTGCATCATAAATACTGTTTAGGAATTAAATGTGAACGGTGCGATGGATTCTTATACATCACAGTGTGCGTTATTTAAAAATTGTACATATTTTCATTGTGCACATAGTTCTAAATTGTTAGTTTTAAATAAAAGTTATCTTAATATTGGTCAGCGTCAAAACCGTCAAACACCTGAAATAATATTCATGTTGTTTTTAATTAATTATTAAGAGAATAAAGTAAATTCCAGTGGATTATTATGTTGACGACACAACTGATTAATTGCTTTGACAAATTCTAATTATTGAAACGTGACATGTTTGACGTTCCCTCATTTTGTGGTAAACATAACATGTTTAGCATGATAAGGAAAATACTACACGTCAAAACAATTCTGGCTCCTTTGAAGTGGTCAGTGCAATACATACATTTTAATTAAATAGTTCCGAAAGTAAATTACGATTAAAATAATACTTATAAAATTATGATCGACTCAAATACATTATAATTGTAAATGATAGTTATTCATTATACTAATAACGGTTTCAACCTAATATTTTGGATATTAGTCTGCATTATTTCTGCATGTAAATTTAAAATGGAGTTCTACACTCAGGTAAAATAAGTTGAATACCATCAATAAAATAAAAATTATTATTTCATTAAACCAGTTTTAAACAAGTTAAAATAAATACAGTTTATTTTAATTAAATACTCTAATTTTATTTTCAAAAGAATGAATCTAAATTGGAAAAACTATTTGCTAATTTAAATTTTAATGAATGTTCAATAATCTTTTATTGGTCAATCATTTGCCCACATCAGTGAAGTTAGCAATGTATTTTCAACCAATTGAGAATGTACCTGTACCAAACAGTAAAACAAGTAATGAAAACTATCGTCCACAGATCTTAAGTTATTGAATAAAATATTGTGTTACATTAAAAAGCAACAATTGCATTGTCTTAGTGCTAAAATAATAATCTTTACCATCTGTTGTTGAAGGCCTACATAAATAACATACGCTATATAATACGTAAATAAATACGCAAATAGCTAGGGACCAATGAAGACTATTCGGCATTTCTAAAAATACACTTAATACAAATGTTTTATCTAATCCTCGTCATTTATATCATTTTGATCACCACTTAAATAATAATTTGTTAGTTTGCAATCCGAGAAAAACTCCATGAGATGGAATTATATGCCCCTGTATTAATAATAGCTAAACAATAATAATAAATCATTATCCATTATTGGTTTGGAAGGTACCAATGATACAAGTAGCTGGGTATTGGTTAGTCATAGTGCCAGCATACTATCTTGATGGTTACCGCTTTAAAACTCAGAAAATTGATTAAATGAGTTATGTTAATACTTCGAAACTTCTAACGGCCTTAGCTGAAGTAAGAGCTGATCAAATTCAGTAACAAAGATGATCAAAACACATACATTGGATACGAAATAGTATATTTCGTACCCAGGGCCGAAATGAGGTTTTACCGGCTCATCGTCTCAAAATTAAAACGATCGAGACCTGCGAAACCGTTTCGGTCCGTGGTCCGAACGCTTTTTTCACCATGGTATACCCTATTACCACTATTCATCCCAGTAATAATGCACACTGATAGTCAACACAAGTAAAATTTTAAGGTTATGTGAAGAAATAATTTGAGGAATTAGCAAAAATAATAATAAATAATTGCTAGGCAGCAGTGACAATAAAAAAATGCTATTGCAATGCTATGGATACTGATTGTGTATGTGAATTAATGTTTTAAGAAAATAAGTGGGCAGCTGATTTTGCGGCGTTAGGTATGTAAAACCCTGCTCGGTCCCCAAATGGCAATGACAACTGGCATGGCCAGCAAAACGTAACTTTCAGCCACCAATTAACGTATGTAAAACAGCTAAAAACATCATAGTGTGGTGGAAAATAAGGTCTATTTCAACCTAACATGTATTTAACTTTGTATATATGTTTGTCATGTCCAATACCGGTTGTAACGATCAAATGGTATTCAGCCTTTGCTTGCTGCAGCCTGTGTCATTGACCTGTCTGAGAAGTCCGCCATGGACGACAACTATCAAGCCTCCATCCAAGACGTTGAAGAGTGGCAGGCCATCTTCGGTGCATTCCCTCCCAGGTCCATCGTCATCTTCGACTTCGGCTGGTCCCCGAGGTATCCCGACGTCGACCGATTCTTTGGCCGCCGAGGAAAGCTGGGAACCCAGCTCAACCATCCTGGAATTTGCCCAGGTATGATTTACAAGAACGATAAGCCTTTGATGAAAAAACTAACATTTTCGCAATCACAGATATACATCTTATGTGACGAAAATTTATTTAAATTGGATACACTCTGATCTCGCTTTTTCACACATTTAGGGAAACAAATAAACACTTTATTAGGGCTGTCTTCATAGTAGTTGTAATGATCTGTTGTTGCCAATCACATTCAATACAGCTTATTTTACGTTAAATGAAAAAATCCTGATTGTTACATGAAAAAAATCTACATTGAATTGATTACAAAAAGTTTGTATTGAGAACATCAATGTCAATTGAATTTTATTGGTTAACACCAGTAAGAAAATACGCTCAGGACAATACAAAAATGTGTCTACTTTATTAACTAAATTCAATAAAAAATGCTCTAAATGATAAATCATCAGGTTTATGGTTAATTTAATCAGCTTATTACTCAATCATTGTTTATTGTTTTGATTTGAACTACCTGAATATAATTTATTAACTAAATCCTTTACATGTTGTTGATGTGTTTACTAAAAAAGCCAATTTTCCAGACAATTATTTGAAGCAGTCTTAACGTTCCTCAAGGGATAGTTTATTTATGTTTCAAGACCTAAAGGATTTTTATTAATAACGCCAATTCTGGATTTATAAATAACATTTTAGGATTTAAATTTATAACCGTATATAACAGGCCTACTAAATTTCCAAATTATTACACTAATTCTACAAGGGAACATATGTTGTTATTGTATTAACAAATAATAAATTGAAGGTATATTATTTTAGGCAGATTGCATTTTAGATTGGATTGGAGTAGAACAATTACAGTAGTGTTATCTTAGAGAATGGCTTAATTTGATTATTTTATTACTAAAACGTTATGCAAAAAAATTCATAAATTAATTAATTGATGGTAACACTTGGTAAAATACAATTTATGTGTACGTTATTCTAGAGAATCTGATATTCTATTATAATGGGATCAAACTAAAGCGTTTAGCCAACTGTTTGTCTCTTGGATTACTCAATGAAATTATGTTTTTTATTGGGCACAGATTTGGAATAAAACAAAAAAAATGCTATTTATTTATCAAAAGATTAGACAGGCTCTGTTATAAGGAAAGGGGGGTGAAGAGTGTTGTAAGGTTTAACGAATCATTATTCAAAACAAGATGTAACAAAAATGATAACCACCAATTAGGTTAGGTTATGTTAGGTTAGGTTAGGTCGGGTTAGGTTAGGTTAGGTTAGGTTAGGTTAGGTTAGGTTAGGTTAGGCACCCACATAGTATGTTACAATACTGATCGCCTTCCAGAGGCGATAGTGACGTAGTTGTCTTATGTCTCAGAGCTGGCTGATTATCTCGGCAGGCACTGTAACGTGTACGCGGTGGGGACGGACGCTCCGGACGTCGACTGTGGCCGAAACAACGAGCTGACCACGTCACCGTCGCAGCGTGTGCTCGCATCCCACGGCAAATACACGGTCACCCAACTCCAGCTGAGGCGGAGAAGATTGCCGTCCATCGGCGCTGTGGTCACAGTAGCGCCCTTCTACATCTCCGAGGCCACGGCCGCCCCTGCTCGAGTGTTCGCTGAGTTCTGTGTGGACCCCGTGCCCGAGGTGGATTGTCCCCAGCCAGCCCCACAGCCCACCCCTCTACTGATTGAACAAGTCGCCTCCGCCCCCCAGATCGTCACCGGCACCCTGGGACACATACACAACGGCGTCCACGGTGTATCCCACCCTCCCCTGCACACTGGCATCGCCAGTATCCTCTAAACAGCTCAGCCCCCTTTCACTGATACACACTCTACAAAATTAACTCGTTATATATTGATAGTTTAAGTTTTTTAGTAAGAGGTTTATGACGTATGTAAATAAATAAAAACACCTAAGATGTGTCTTTTTATATGTTTTTACAAAGGTCTTTTATTAATGTGGTCTAGGGCCCTCATCTTCGAAAGAGTTAAGGTAAGTGTCCGCTGAATTGGTTCGATATAGTAGAATGTTTAATAATTCATTAGCCATTCGCTGAATTATGAACAGCATTGTTAAACTATACAGGGAGTTTATTAAGTCCCGCATAGGTTTAATATGTTCTGAACGATAACGGATGGATCAATAAGATTTCGTACATCAACACAACACCTATAAAAATATATAGAAAAAATATTTTGAATTAACTATCAGTTTTCTGACATATCATTAGGTCGCTCCGCAAGGAGTCAGATGGAAATCTCAAATACAAGCATAGGTTGATATGCAGATGAAATTAGAAGTCTGTGTTAGTAAAATCTTATTCTATTTGTCTGTAGTAAAATACAATGACGCAAACCCAAATCCAAATGGAAAACTTAGTAAAAATTACAGTTGTTCAAAAACTCAAAATTGCAGATTAAAAAATGTTCAAATGGTTGCCATTTTACTCGGTAGTTCTTCCGAGCTCAAATTTGCGGTATTGTATTTTACTATTCAAGACTTTTAATTTAACGTGCATATCGACCTATGCTTCCGTTTAAGATTTCCTTCTGATTCCTTCCACGACGTCCCTATGATATGACCGAAAACTGACAGTTCGTTCAGAAAGTAGATTTTTAGGTGTTGGTTTTATGTACCAAATCATATTGTTTTATTTGTTATCGTTCGAAACATATTAAACTCGTGCGGGACTCTATGTACGTAAAATCCTTATAGTTAATACAGTATGCTTGCTTAAGCTACTTTCGATGAATACATTTCCTTTAGATTTATCCATACAAACTACTTAAACCAATACTAAAGCTTTAATTAAAACTAATCATTAAATAATGAGATACATTTATATGGTTTTGAATGGAAAATAAATTTGCAAAGCGATAATTTTCAAAGAAAATATTTTTTTTTTTTTCATAAAAAGTTTGATAAACGATTTGGCTCTGTGCAGTATTTTATAGTGAGAACATAAATTTTATATAAGCACAGTATGGTTTACCAAATATTTAATCTGTTAGTTTAATCACTGGAATCAAACTACAATTAACTTTAAAATCGAGTGAACATTTTATTCGCAAACAATATGAATGAAAATAAATTACATACAAGACAACATACATTTAAGGAAAATCTGTACAAAATATTTTGTTTGATTGAGGGTATTCCTTGAAATTTACTTTGAATAAAACTCATCATGGTGTTTCAAATCTCAAATAGCTTGTCAAAGATCATATTTTACACCTTTTGGTACCATAAGAAAATACCTCTTTTGTGAATTTCTTTGTAAGAATTCCATTAACAAATTATTAGCGAAAATCCATTATAAAAAACGAAATAAGGAATCGTATAACACCTTTACATCTACTCTCTTTCCATCTAACTCCGATGTTATTAAGATTGTGTATTCTGAAATGTGAAATACGATTCTTTCTTCTGGATAAAAGCAGTGTAATGTTCCGTAGTAATTCCTCTGAATATAAGCCGTAATGCATTTTTATAATGCATGTTACGAAGAAAATAGGATGATCATATTATATTACACATATATTAGAGTCGTTATCATCCTATATCAGCTTATACCATTGTTGAACAAAAAAAACTTTGTACACACTTGAACAATACTGTTATACTCTTTTGACATTGGATTACCGTACTGATTAGTAGTCTAAAATGACAAACAGTTATGGGGTTTTACAAAAACCGAATAAATTAAAATTAAAAACAAATTGCTTTCCTTATAAATCTATTTTCATACGGACAAAATCTAACCGGCCGTTCGTGATTTAATTAATTGGGTTCACATCGATACTTTCTCTGAAAAAGATTAAAGTAACGCTAATAGCATTAACACAAAGAGGAGATCCGTGTAATTAAATTTTCCGACACTCTTGTTCATGTTTTTTTTTCCTTTTTTGCGTTATAAATCAAAGAAAATTAAAGTACATTTTTTAAGTTTCAAGCATGATGCTAAAATGTCAGTACAGTACAGTATCATAAATATTTTTCATTTACACATTTAAATAACCTCAAAACATTTTAAATATTGATAAGATTACATTTTTATTTTATGACTTATTACAAATAATAAATAATTAAAATTATACAATTATATATAATTACTAAAAATAAAGATTACTTATGACGACAAAATCATCAATTATGGTCAATTTTTATGACTCTTAATTGCACAAATAAATAATACAACAAGATATTGCTATATACTTAGAATTTATACGAGGAAACTGATGTGTAACGTACATTTGACATATGATCGTATTAATTTCAATAGGGTTTGTTTCTGAATCTAGTTACGACAAATCAAAGGGCTTAAATTAATTGAGTTATTATTTTATGATATAATTAATTAATTTTTACAGTCTATTTTAGGTTTAACAAATATATACAGTGTAGGACACAAAATAATTGTTGTTTTAAGAACATCAACCAGTTTCATACCTAGGCCTATTGAGCAATCTTCTTAAAGTAACTTTATAAAGTAATATAAGGATGGACAAACACAATTGAAATATTACAAAACTATTCAAATATTAACTTTGGTTTTCAGATTTTGACAAATCCTAATTGTAGACGAGGTATTGCAACCACGCACGGGAAGGGTAGAAACTCAATGAACGATTTCAGAAGAGAATTCAATACTTAATTTATTACGGTGTGTTAATGAACAAAATGACTTTCTTAATAAGTTACTGACAATTGGAAATTCAGACAATTTAGATAAAACTATTTAACATTGAAAATGGTTGGAGAACTTAAAGTATTAAAGTAAACTGATATTCCCACCCGCAGGGAAGGGAAAGGTAAGGTAATAACTGCGGCTCGCCGACACCTCGAGCTCGACTCTGACTGACTACCCCAGGTTCGGCGGTCCTACACGTCACACAGAATGATGACACCTCATGTCAGCAAAACAATCAGGCCATGCATTCCATGCCACGATCCAAACAACCGAACGTGATGTAGCAATCGATGTACTCAATACTTTGTGACACTCAACAAAACCAACAAAACGATGCTGGCTAGCAGAGTTGCGACACGATTGCCAATATTAACGGCAATAGCCAAAACTTGGCTTTGGGCTTTTAGCCATAATAACACACAAAAAATACGGTCAATAACTTCCTAACCGTCACAGAGGAAAATATATATTTGATATACATCTGTAAACAAATTTTGAACGTGTTAGTGATAAGTTTTTAACTGAAACAGCTTAAATAAAAAAGAGAATCGAAGAAGTTAAGAATGAAGAAATAGAAGAATAAAGTTGTGAAGTTAGGATGATTGATGTTGGCGAAATAGCAAAAGTAGATATTTACTTGAAAGAATTCCAATATTTTTATAATAGAATTTTCAAAAATTAATCAAAATCTTTGTTTTATTTACATTATAATACAAAGCATACGATTTCATGAGTTGATTTAAGAGATAAACCAAACACAATTTCACATTTATTTGGGTCATTATTGCAATTACTCAGAACGTACAGTAGATTGTTGCAATAACAATGTAGTTGTCACCGTTACAATGGTTAAGTAAACTACCTATACTATTATTATTATCTTATACCTATACTATATCTACACTTATACTAGGGTTGCTTTCAGAGAGGTGAAAGCCAGTTGAGCGGAACAAACGTGATTTGATATTTGTATAAGTAATTAAATGTAAAAAGGTCAATAGATGTACTAATTCTGGTTTTATTGATTAAAATTATAATAATTCAAATTTGTTTTTACTACATCTTGTTATTCAGATACCTCTTCCAGAAGTGCATTATGGTAGTTTTGACCATGAAAATATATATTACAGTAGTTGGAATCTGATATTAACATCCAAAAAGTAAAGTATAAAAAAGAGAAAGGTAATCTAACATTCAAATGCAACTGTAGCCTACAACAACAAAACATTGGGCTACATTTTTCACCCTTACAATCGGTTAAAGTATTTAAGTATAAAAAAACAGTAACTATAAAAAAACGAGTATTAAAGTATAACAACAGGAGGGGAAATTTGACATTTAAATTCAACCATGCAACATAAAATGGCTGAAATGTAGGCCTAAACATAAGTAATAAGTAAACATCGCATTCAGCTGATTTAAGTGAAAACAGAATAATAATAAGAAGGGAAGACATGCCTTAAATATACAATGTAGATAATATAATTAGAAATTAGTAGCCTATACTTCTGGACAAGCCTTGACAATTATCCATACCGTGGTTAAAAGTGGACTTCTATAAGCCTAGGTAATTAATTTATTTACTTATTATTACCGTTGTAACTGGACGTATGTATAGCCCGTGGCTTGGCAATCAAATAACAGTATTTATACAGGATAGGCTACTGTTATAAACATTTGAAATTACTGAATCGTTACCAAATTACTGTTTCACAAAATGCAGATTCCATTTTCAGCCGAGCCATTAAAATGAAGATTTGCCGAACAATTATGAATATTACAGAATAGTATTTAATGATATACAACTTTTCACATTTCATAAATTACATGTTAGTTTTGCTATGGTCAAAGGTCCAAATCCAAATGTTCTTTTCATTTGGTTTTTATGTAGTAATTTTCTAGAATCATTGACTTTATATAAAGTCAATGCTAGAATACTGTAGATGGCTTGTTAATACCATAAGGCGAGCATTTTTGTAATCGTTTCCCCGTTTAACCAACTATTCCAAAAGATAAAAATTATATGGTGCAACACAAATAAACAACCCGATCACCTACCTATAACCTACACTTTACCTTCCTAATCTAACCTTACTTCAAAACACTAATACTCATAAACCACGAATACTCATAAACCCCGACCTACCTTCCCCACATGCCGAAATTAGATCAGTGTTCAATCTGCGTTTTATTAATAAGTGTAATAACTTACTGCACCGTAGATGT